TAGTGTTATAGCAACTGAGAATGAAGTCCATTAATGACAGGCCAGAATGCACAGCTATGCACAGTGATGGTTTTAATATGCTTTAGCTTCTCTGCTTGCTGTGTGCCAGTATTGATCAGTCAGGTTAAATCATGTTCCTTCTTCAGATCAAATCACCAAGTTTATTTGGATGATTACGCGGTCTGAAGTCATATGAGATCCACTTCAGAAACAGTCAGTTGTCAGTGATGTTTGGACAGGTAAATTCTCCTTTTTCTCAGAATGCGGCAAAAGTTTTTGAGTTGTGGTGTATTCCAAGCTGCGGTACTTCAGCTAAGACGACAAACACACACACATGCCCTGCTTAACAAATCTCTCTGTCCAAACCCGCCTTTGGCTGCTTTTAATGAATTTCCTTCTGTCCAAATTTAAAATTGAAGTGGAGTTTAGCAACCTGAATGAATTCATATGGGTTCTGTTGTCCTTTAGTAACTGAAAAAAAATTGCTTCCTCTCCTAATACCAACAGTGTTTAAAATAAGAAAAAGTGACCTCCTGCAAGTTCCTATGCTGTTAACCAAGTATGCAAGGGCAATGTGTTATTTTTGGTTGAGAAGCATGCAAAGTAAACATGCCTTATATTGTGGCAAAGAGAATAGAATCCTTTGAAGGATGTGTGTTCATTTTGAAGGCATCCAATGAGAACTGAAACACACAATCATATACCTGCGCTATTTTAAAGTTCTTTTTTGATATTTAGAACACTTTACCCTTTTGCATTCATAAAGAGCTACAGTGTCCAAAATGCTAGTATATTATGATTTCTGGGTGCAGCAATGCAATTTTTCAAACATTCCCACCTTAACTGGAAAGAACCAGAATTTGCTTGGGACTTTTTTTAGATCTGACATTTGGATGTTGGATTATTGACTTAAGTTTTCATGTTGAAGCTGGAAGCTATCAGAGTGGCAGCTTATAGCACCATCTGCTTTATACTGGGTACTCCATTGCAAGTCTTCTTTGCAAAACCAGAAACATTGTGGGTAGTGTTAATAAGTTTCTGGATTTCCATCAGGTTCAATGTGGTCTTAAAAGATCAGAACTATCATACAGTAGGAGAGTTTTAATTTTATCAGAAATGCCAAAGGAACCTTGCTCAGCGGCTCTAAATTGTGATTATCTAATTGAACACCACTGAACTGAAAATACTATTACTCAAACTATGATAATGTCTTTGCATTTTTGTGGTTTCATTGAATAGAGGGGTTGATATAAGCTGATGCTTATTTTTGTCACTGTGTTGAATTGAAAGTGAAGTGGATTTTGAATTCAGAACACTGTGCTCCCAATATGGTTGTGGATCCTAGAAATGTGAGTAGTTCCTCAATACAGTGCTTTACAACTAGCTGCCAGAATAATATGTGCCTTTCTAATCTGAGAAAACACTGGCTTTGGAGATTCTTAACTGTGTTGTTTACCTTCATGCATAGCTATTTAATGGGACTGTGGTGAAGATGATTCTGTGTTCAGTAGAGGTCCAGAATGCTGCATTCTGAGAAGACAGGAGAATGTCTTAGACAAGAGCATCCTTGTTCTGTCCTACAGTTAAGGCTCTTTGTGCTGCTCAGTCTTCCCAGTATCTCAGTGTTCTGCAGGACTTAAACTTTCAGTTCTTTGATCTTATAATCTGTGTAAGACTGGAGCTGCACGCCTTTGGGCTTTGGACAATTAACTGATATGATGCATCTGGGATTTTGTCTCAGTGCCTGGCCAGTACCTCAAGATCTCATCCAAATTGAAGATTCCTTTTAATTTCTGCCCCCTTCAGGGCTTCAGATAGCGACAGTGTTACGATGAAGGGTCAAGTCTGAAACTTTGGCAAAATTTTTTGCTAGCTAAAGCACTTTCTTTTGTTTGAATCTCCTCTTATTTAAAAACAACCCCCCTAAATACAAATACCAGGATGGTGTTCTTTAGCTTTTGCCCGCCAGAACAATACAGCAGCAGTGGTGAGTGAGAAAATGGAAACGTTTGATTGTGAAAGGCTGAAAAGACCCACCGAAAAGTGTGAATGTAGTCTTAGCATTTTTTGTTTAGTACGATCCTGCTTTTTTTTTTTCCTAAGGAGTTAATGTCTCGAGTAATACAACTTGTTAGACAGTGTATTTTAGGACTGTGTGTTACATTTGGTATGCGGTGATCCTGACTGAGACAGCATGTTGGCAGTTGCAATCCAGTAAGACATTTCAGCACTCGCTGAGCATGGTGAAGACTGGCAAATCATTGATTACAAAAAGAGAACGGTCAAAAGTTGCGTACTCTGGCATATGTATATTGCTGTACTGAAATATTTAATCTTTCATCACAGCTTTCTGCAAGTAAGTGATGCCTGTACTCTTCAATAGATGTTTAGCATTTGGAAACTCCTTTGGAAACACAAGCTGTTTCTTTTAGCCAGTGGAAAAATTGAATTTCTGTTGGACTTCCATGACTCAAGATAGACATATATCAATAGATTTCAATCAGTAGTATGTTAATATAATAGCTACCGTTAGTATGAATGTTTTATACATACAATACAGAAAATAAATCCTTTCTGTTTGTGAAAGGAAAAAAGTCATTAAAATAGATCTTACAGTGAAATCATTTTGGTGTTGACAAAACTACTGAAATGCTATTTATTTACTACAGTCTGCTAGTTACTAGATGCAGTATGGCAGTAATACTGCACTTAGCACATATGATGCTTACATGTACTTGAATATGTGTGGAAAAAATCCTCGGTGGAATACTGTGTAAGATACCATATAATTGTTGTTTATGTGTGACTTAATGGAGGGCCAGTGGTTTTGGCATACTAAATATATATGGTCCAGAACCAATACGTTGTTTCAATGTAGCTGATAAAAGACACTGGATATATGTTGTTCTGCAGATTTCACTTAGCTCCATCTGCCATGGGGTTTAACACTGAAAATGCTAATACGTTTATTTGTTCCAAACAATTATCACAGAGTGCAGTTTGCCATTTCTTAGGCGTGTTATGGGTATCTGCTAAATCTGAAACTTTTGTTAGATAGCTGCCTATTTTTTTGTGGCCTTTTTTTACCTGTTAGCTTAAATTGGGGAATGTGTGTGGTACTATGGGAAAGAATGAAATGAACCATTCTTGGCTAGCTAATAATTTTGTAGTCTTGCTAAATGGCAATATCAAATGAACGCACAACTTTATTTGTTTCTCTGCATATTAATACAAGGTGTATTTTCTGTTTCCAGACAACTAACTCATTACAAAGTTAAAATTTCTAGATAGTTTAGTTTAGTAAGAACTTACAGTGCTAACTGATAGATCTGTGTTTCTGAATAATGGAACAGGTATTTTCTTATTCTTGCAAACTGTGTTTTGAAAGATGGGAAAGAGAGGCATCATTTTCACTTGGAATGTTAACAGATTAGGTGTTTCTAGCCATCAGTGGTCGTTACCATAGAAATGTACTCATGGGTTTGCTATTGCCGAAATGGACTCAACTCAAAAGGCATCTTCAGTTTTTTAAACTGCATTGTAAAAATTTGTTTTGCAGTGACTGAAGTGACTGCTTAATACAGCAATTACCTGAATTCAGTGATACCGAGCATGCTGTTTTTTTCAGTTCACAATAACACTAGAATTATTTTTCTTAATGCCTTTATGGAATATGTTCATAAACATATCTTCATTTGATTTCATTACATAGATGGGTTTGTATTTCTCTTTGAGTCTTCTGTTGCTTTGCTTTAATTTCAAAGACATGGAAGTACACCAACCTTAGAAGCATACCCTGCAAGGTGCTCCGAGTGTTCAATTTTATTATCTGTAATGACAAGTTACTTTGTTTTTCAGGGTATGTTTGTCGTGTAACCAAATATTGGCCTCCTGAATTGAGGGGGAAAAGGAAAAAAAACAAAAACAAAAAAAAAGAAAACCAAACAAAACCCCCCCAAACAACTCCAAAAAACAACCAAAACCCCACAGGAAAAGCGTGATCTTCACAGTTTATACTGGATTCTTTGTAGTATGGAATCCTGCAGGTAGTCCTGTTTTTACCTGCCATTGCCAGTATTTTGTTGTGGTTAATGATTTATTTATTTATTCTCTTGAGGACTTAATAGCCGGGATTACAGAAGCTTATCTAAAGTGGTTTCAGCTTCTATTTAATGCACAGTAACTTTCTGATTTCTAGTATAACTGGAAAGGGAGATTTAAAAGGGTGAAGTTACTATGTTTTAAGGACTTGGAAAGCAAATAACAAAACTCCAGATTCATTATTAACAGAATAAAAGTAAATTCTATGATTTTAAAACCAGTTTCACAGTTTTTGTAAGTTAACAGTTGGAAGCATGATGTTACTATCATCTCAGGTTTCCTGACAGAATTATTTTTCTTCATGTTTCTGATTCATTGAAGTGATTTCTCTCACTGTGAGTTGTAGGAACTGACCTGCTTAGTATAGGGCTAATGAAGCCATGGTCGTGTTTATTTTAGTTTGATGTTTTTCCGATGATTTCTGGATTCCTGGAGTTTGACATTCGTCTTTTCTGTTCCACAAATTTGGTTGGATTTTGTCGTGTTTAAAGATTGGCGTCTTGTTCTGGAGGGCTCCCAGGGAATGTAGCTTCCTCTGTAGCTTCTTCTGCTGTCATGTGGTTGAACTCCCAGAGACAGCTCGCTTTTTAAGCTAATTTGAACAAGTGAAGTAGAGCATTGCTGTCACATGAAGATACATCTACAGCTTTATGCGTATTGCTATACTATCATATTTATTCCTACTGGTAGCTACTTTATCTGGTGAAGTGTTGTCCAGTATTATTACATGATGTTAGTTGATATACTTTTAGAGTATTAGTGCAAGTGAATTTTTATGTTTTATGAACTCTATATTAATTCCTGTTTCCAAGTAAGAAGAAAGAAGGCAAGTGCTGGAAATAAATGTTAAGTCAATTTGGGATTACTGTTAGTAATGGTGCTTCTCACTTTCCCTCCAGGTTGTTTGCATCCGTTCTACATGGAATGCTCTGTCACCAAAGCTGAGTTGTGATACAAGACCCTTCATTTTAAAAGCACTGAATGAATTGTTTGCGCTGGTTCCCTCACTAGCAGTGAATACAAATGAATATGAGGTATGTATTCGTAGACTAAGGCGAGTTTCTTCTTTTGGTCTATCTTGGTATATGAGTTTTAAATGTGCCTGCTTGTTTTTTGATATCTCTAAATTGCACCCACTGACTAATTCAAGTTAATCATAATGCACATTTCTGTAGAGTTTCACAATTTCAGATTGCATTAGTGAATCCTAGGAGATAGGTGAGAAATTCCAGTGCAAGGTGAATCAGAGGTTCCCCCCTCCCAGAATGTGAGGACATGTGAATGCATCTACAGTTCAGACCTGCACCCTTTCCACCCTTTTCGTAGCTCAGTGCATGTTAATGTGGCAGCAGTTTGTTTCAGGTAACAGCCTTTATTTCAACTGCTCATTTGATTAAAGAAAATCTGAATGCGTGTTTTGTCTGCTTTTATAGAAATTCAAAGCTCAAGTTATCAGCTTCCTTTGGAACAACACACAAAACAAGGTAGGTGACACAACTGAAGATGAATTCCTGGTGTCAGTGATTGGATATTAAGTTTTATACCTTGCTGTCAAGACAAGGTTATCAGTGCAGCAATCTCATTTTCTAATACAGTTTTCTTCTTGTCATTGACTGCTTAACACTGTTTTTGAAGCAATGTACTGCACATGAAAGGTGGTAACAGAAGGGCCTAAGATCTGCTGCTTGCAAGGAGAATCATAACACAAACTAGTTTGACTCCCCTTGTAGACTTCAGCCTTGACACGGTGAAGCATCCTTGGCAAAGCTGCAGCTGTGACAACTCAATTCTTCAGTGGGATATTGTAACACAATGGGAATGTTGGACCAGCACTACCATGGGGCTGGTGGAACCAAAATATTTTAGTTTAAATGTAGCTCAGATATTTCTGCATAAACTACACTCACAGCAATAATGGAGTGTAGCAATCAGAATGTTTGCTATTGAGCCTAGTAATTGGTCTTGCTAGTTTGTATTTTATATATTAAGTAAGCAATTAAGAGTGCACCTCAGGAAAACATTGTTATTTAAAGCGTTTTTCAGCATTCAGTGGTTAATGAATAGGCTTTTCGTATGTGGAGTTTCCAGTAGGTAGCAATACCATATGGTGTGCTTGATTTTCTTTTTTGTCCTGTTAATTTTCTAGGATGCCGTTGTAGCCATTTCAGCCTATAAATCACTCTCATCATTTGGTTCTGAAGAACATACAATTCATCATCTTCCTGAACAGGTAACAATGTTGTACATTTAACAGTAAGGACATCTCACACTTCATCTGACATGGCTTGTGTCCTCTTGCAAGGGAAGTAAGGCCTGGTGCCATCTCTATCAGACAACCCTGAGAGCCTCTTAGAAGGAATATGAGCTCCTGCTGGTGAAATGGGATGATATTATGTATGATCAGCATAACTAAGACTTGTGGGAGGGGAAAGGCACAAATGGAGGCTGAGTCAGAAGGTATTTTTTTTTCTTCTTTCCTTAGTTAAATCAGCAGGTTATTTTTTTGGATGCCTATTTTGCGTTTTATACTCTTCTGTTAACGCTTGCAGTTGAGTCTTGACACTAAGCAGCTCTTGTGATTTCTGCATCATCCATTGCAGTCACACACACGCTTAGTGCTTTTGTTCCTGAAATGGGCAGGTCAGTTCAAAAAGTAGGTGCTTCTTTTGGAAATAAGCTGAAAATTTTTCCTGTATTTCTGTTCTGAACTTTTATAGCATACCATTTTTCTTTTTTGTTGATAAAGGCAGCCAGAAAAAAAAATTGAGATACTTACTGGAAGGCTTTTTAAGCATGTAGAGGGCTGTTAAAATCTGAAACTTTGGTCTGATCAGTTGACTCAATCTTACAAAAAGAAACAGTGCAAGGAAATGAACATATAAAGTCAGCTGTGTGATTTATTTTTTTTTTTTACTTTTTAACTTTTTTACTTTTTTTCTCCTCTTGTAAGAGAGAGTAGGCAATAAACAGTTGTCCATTGGTACTTTATGGCGTAGTAAATACTTTTGTAAGCTTTTATTTCCTGCATTATTACAAGATTGGCTCCATTTGTGCGTTGTAACTAGCTATTATGAAAAGGTTGGAATAAGCAGCTTTAAAATTAAAAAACATACCTGCTTCATATAAATCAATAAGAGTTCAGCGTAAACCTTACAAGTGAGAAATGTGTTTTGCATAGAGGAGCACAGGATAGAATGAGGGAAATCTCTAAACACTGCTGCAGTACTAAATCTCTTGCATGCTAGTATGTAGCTCTGTGCTGTTACTTTACACTTATTAGAAAACGATTAAATATGTTTTCATTGAAAGCATTGTAGATGTGTTGTAGTTTTTCAAATTCTGAAAATGAGGATGGAAGAATAATGTAGCAGAAATCGTGGAATCGTTTAGGCTGGAAAAGACCCTTCAGATCATCAAGTCCAACCGCGAACCTAACACTGCCAAGTCCACTTCTAAACCGTGTCCCTAAGTGCCATGTCTACACATCTATTAAATAACTCCAGGGATGGTCACTAAATCACTTTCCTGGGCAGCCTGTTCCAATGCTTGACAACTCTTTCAGTGAAGAATTTTTTCCTAATATCCAATCTAAACCTCCCCTGGCACAACTTGTGACTGTTTCTTGTTGTACTACCACCCACCTCGCTGCAATCTCCTTTTGGGTAGTTGTAGAGAGTGATAAGGTCTCCCCTCAGCCTTCTTTTCTCCAGGCTAAAAAAACACAATTCCTTCAGCCGCTCCTTGTAAGACTTGTGCTGTAGACCCTTCAGCAACTTTATTGCTCTTCTCTGGATGCACAAATGCTCTGTGTATTTTAAAGTGCCAATATAAAACATTGTTTTACTCTATGATTAAAGAAGAATCAGAGTGAAAATGAAGTTTTAGTAATATTAGTTTAGTCCACAAGTGTCAAGATTAATTTGACTATTACAGATACGGATTTACATACCCATGTGATTTTTATTAACCAGACTTGCTTTTCCTTTGGGTAGAAGGAAAGCTTTTATTCTTTCAGCTTCATATTAGTGAAATGGAATGAAATTAATAAAATGGGGAACTTTTCATATTTAATTGGTATTTTTGACACTTGGAATCATGAAAGGTAATGAGGATTCAGAATTTTTGTGCTGACATTTCCTTTTTTTTAATTTTTCAGGCACGACCAGAAGTTGACCCACAGGAGGAGGCAGACATGAATGAAGATGAAGAGGAGAAGGAGGTGGATCTTTTTGTTCCAGGTTCTTCGTATATCAAGCTTTTATCTCTAACACCAGCTTCTGTTTTAGGAGGTATAATATATTCAGTATTTGAAGTTGCTTGGCAGACTTATGATCACAGTGACTGTACAGACATGTGGCTTTCTTATAACAGACTGTCATGTTAAACCCCATGCAGTGCTACAGGTTTGGGGAAGAGTGGCTGGAAAGCTGCCCGGCAGAAAAGGACCTGGGGGTGTTGGTTGACAGCTGGCTGAATATGAGCCAGCGGTGTGCTCAAGTGGAAGAGGGCCAATAGCATCCTGGCTTGTATTAGAAACAGCGTGGCCAGCAGGACTAGGGAAGTGATCATCCCCGTGTACTGGGCACTGGTGAGGCTGCATCAAGAATGCTATGTTCAGTTTTGGGCCCCTCACTCCAAGAAAGACATTGAGGTGCTGGAGCATGTCCAGAGAAGAGCTATGAAGCTGGTGAGGGGTCTAGAGAACAAGTCTTATGAGGAGTGGCTGAGGGAAGTGGGATTGTTTAGCCTGGAGAAAAGGAGGCTGAAGGGCAACCTTATCACTCTCTATAACTACCTGAAAGGAGGTTATAGAGAAGTGGGTGTTGGTCTCTTCTCCCAAGTAATAGGTGATAGGAGAAGAGGAAACAGCCTCAAGTTGTGCCAAGGGAGGTTTAGATTGGATATTAGGAAAAATTTCTTCACCGTAAGGGTTATCAAAATTGGAACAGGCTGCCCAGGGAAGTGGTGCAATTGCCATCCCTGAGTTATTTAAAAGACAGGTAGAAGTGGCGCTTAGGGACATGTCTGAGACTTGTCTGAAACCTGGTAGTCAGAGAATTAAAAATAATACCATATAACAAACTATAAACTTCAGACAACAGCTATTTATTTATTAGTATTATTCAGAGGTGTATCTCTGCAGGAAGAATGCTAAGAACTTTGCTCCTGTGATGTTAGTTACCTCTTTTCTTTTTTTCATTCAGACTGATTGCAAGCTTTAAAACATTTGCTGCACATCTAAGTGTTCCATTAAATTTATTCAGATTTTCTAGTTTGAGTTACATCTGGCAGCCTAGATCTTTGGGTTGTATGTCTTGCATGAAGAATTGCTTTTGAATGGCTTGTAAGTATTAAGTCCTTGGCATAACTAGCAAGTGCAGTAATACAACAGCAATGAATATTACCTGTGCTAGGATGTCTCTGTCAATATGGAGGGTTACCAAAGCGAGAGCTATCCTCTCTCACAGATTTTCTTCTCTACTGCTGTAGTCACCCTCCAAAAAAAAAAAAGCTCTTGTAAAAGTCTGGAGCAGGTATGTGGCTAGTGTTTTCATGTCAATAAATTTATTTTTGTTGGAAGAGTATATAGTGTTGATGATTCCCGAGAACAAAGATTTATAGTTTCTGTTTGAATCACTGTAGTGAAAATTGCTAACTGAATTCTGAGGGTTTTGTTTGAAGAGTGTTGGCACTACAGGTGGAGGAAAAAAAAATAATTCAACAAATGTAGGTGCCCTTCCAGCCATGCTACAAAAACCTGTCAGATTTAGACTGCTAATCCACTATGAAGTTGAATTGGGAAAGAGCATTCCTGAAAACCACAGGAACTTGCTGAAAATAGGAAATTTGAGGTAATTCCAGTATCTCATTGCATGCTGCCATAGGTATTTCTTGGACCTAGAAAGGACAAGTGAGTGCCCTTTTGTCTCCTTTGTCCTCTAGTTCCTAGTCAAAGCAGGACTGCATATGATTTGGGAATTTGTATGCCAGTTTCAAGCCTAGTGTGAAACAGTTATTGTAAATCCTCTTAAAACTGAATTATAGAAAGCACTAACAGACTTCTAGACATACCAGGTTTGCAACGCGTTGGTACAATGTTGACTCTGAATTGGGGTGTGGTAACAAATACTATACAGTCTCATAGTCACTTTAGAACAAGAGGAAATGTCTTAGAATATGAGGAAATGGTTTCAAGTTGTGCCAAGGGAAGTTTAGATTGGATATTAGGAAGAATTTCTTTACTGAAAGGGTCATCAGGCATTGGAACACGTTACTCAGGGCAGTGGTGAAGTCCCCATCCCTGGAGGTATTTAAGGGTCGTGTAGATATAGTGCTGAGGGACATGGTTTAGTTGTGGGCTTGTCAGCGTTAGGTTAGTGTTTGGACTACATGATCTTACAGGTCTTTTCCAGTCTAGGACATTCTGTGATAGATGCACGTACACGGTACATACAGAAACACAACCCTTTTCTCTAATGTGTGCCTGTAAAGGCTTTTTCAGATTGACTTTACAAATGAACAATAACTTTCTATTAATTCTGTATCATTTTAAACCTAGTTAGACTATAAAATGCATAGCTTAAAAGCACACAACTTAATATACATTTTGTACTGCTGTGGTAACAGAAATCAAGGTAATACTTCTCTCTCTCTGTATCCCCTGTTTGCATAGACATGAGCTGTCTCTATCTAGCCTCTTTGTATTGCGCTTCTCTTAAATCTCTTTAAGAATAACCTGTTTTCGGAGGCAATATTTTTCACTAAGTTGGTAAAAATGAGTTTGATTTCTCGTTGTCTGTCTGTCAACATGTGCCAGTGTTACTGGTGTAGCCGTCAAAGAATGCAGTCCAACAACTCAGAGAATAGTTAAGGCTATTTTTCTTCCCAATCGCAGTATGTGACATGACTTACTCAGAGCCACTTGAACTTTCAGTGGCAGCAGGTATGGTGTCAGAGAGACTGGCTAAGAGTTCTCAATTCTTTGACCTTCAGCTTTCATCTGAACGTGTCATTACTAGTTTATCTAAGCATATCTCCCCTGAAGCACATATGTCATTTTGGGTTTTCCAAGGTTTGTTTGGTCTCCCAGTCATCAAGCCCTGATGTTCCATTTCCTGTCTCCTCATTTTCTTGCACTTCATCCAGCATTTGAAGAGTTTGCAGCATCACTTGTGAAACAGGAGATGACCAACATGCCCCGTGGTGTGTATCATTCTGCCTTGAGAGGAGGGACCATGCGCTCGGATCAGGGGAAGACTATGGCAGGTGTTCCAAACTTCTTGCTGAAAATGTATGAGAGGAACAAACAACCAGGCATGACGCCAGGCCTTGCAGGTACACTGTCAGTTTCTTGAAGTTAGACAAGTATATGTGTTTTGATCCAGAGATTTCTATGAATCCAAGAGTGAATCAGTTTCAGAAATAAAGTCCTATGCCACTTGCATATGCTTACATATGCTTTTAAATTGTTGGCTTTATTTAGTTAACTTTACTTTGCTTTGGATTCTCCACTGACTTATGCAAGACTTATGAACTATTAGCATGAGTACTGGTATTGACCAATTTTTTTTTTTTTTTTTTTCCCTTCCTCCCCCCTTTAAGCTGGCATGTTGTTGTGTTATGACCTTCCAGTTCATACGGGCAAAGATGGGAAGCCTATTAACCGATTTCTGGTCAGCAGGGGACGCAATTTCCAGCAAATGTTGGTAGCCCTCATTCATGAGGTAAGTTGCTGACTTTTCTTCCCTTCTCAGAAATATGCTTCCTTCCCTGCCTTACTACCTCTGGGGTAGTAAGTAAGTAGAAGTGCCCCCCAGGTGCTGTGTAATGAAGGCAGTGTCAACAGGGTTGTGAAGTACCTCAGATGGCAAGTTCTTCTCTCAAACTAGTAAAATTAAAAACCAAAAACCACCCTTAAACACAGATCTCAAGGTATCTAGTCATGTATGTAAATTTAATAGGTATTTTCCCTCTTGACCTCTTTACTGCTAAAGAATGAAAGCAGAAGCTGGAGGTAGTGTGCCTCATCACAGGATTGTACAAGTAAATTAATGAATGTTTTCTAACTGTTTGGATGTTCCAGGGGAGAGCACCAGGGGAAGTCCTTAAGGATATTGCAAAATATGTCAGAGGAGCAGATTTAGAGTAATGAGTTATGAATGAAGCGTGGGCTTGCATAGCATTCAGAAAGTAAAGTTCTGCCTTCTATGTAGTTGCTTCATTCAGTGGGGCCAGAGGTTCTGCAGAAAAACGTATTTAATTGTGTTATAATAAAAGGCATGGCCTTTGAAAGGTCCTGGAGAAGAGGATCGGGAGAAAGCCCATGTCGCTCCAGTCTTCAAAAAGGGCAAGAAGGAAGACCCAGGAAACTACAGATCAGTCAGACTCACCTCCGTCCCTGGAAAGATGATGGAACAGCTTGTGCTGGGTGTCATCTCAAAGCATCTGGAGGTGAAGAAGGTTGTCAGAAGTAGTCAATATGGATTCACCAAGGGGAAGTCTTGTCTGACTAATTTGATAGCCTTCTATGATGGCATCACTGGATGGATAGATGGGGAGGTCAGTGGATGTTGCCTACCTTGACTTCAGCAAGGCTTTTGACGCTATCTCCCATAATATCCTCATAGGTAAGCTTAGGAAGTGTGGGTTAGATGAATGGATAGTGGGGTGGATTGAAAACTGGCTGACAGAGTTCAGAGGGTTGTGATTAGTGGCACAGTCTAGTTGGAGGTTTGTAACAAGTGGTGTTCCCCAGGGGTCAGTACTGGGTCCAGTCCTGTTCAATATATTCATCAATGACCTGGATGGAGGGATAGAGTGTACCATCGACCAGTTTGCTGATAACACAAAACTGGGAGGGCTGGCTGACACACTGGAAGGCCGTGCCGCCATTCAGCGTGACCTGGACAGGCTGGAGAGTTGGACAGAGAGAAACCTTATGAAATTCAACAAAGGCAAGTGTAGGGTACTGCATCTGGGGAGGAAGAACCCCATGCATCAGTACAGGTTGGGGATTGAGCTCCTGGAGAGTAGCTCTGTGGAAAGGGACCTGGGAGTCCAGGTGGACAACAGGATGACTATGAGCCAGCAATGTGCCCTGGTGGCCAAGAAGGCAAATGGCATCCTGGGGTGCATGAAGAAGAGTGTGGCCAGCAGGTCAAGGGACGTCATCCTATACTCTGCCCTGGTGAGGCCGCATCTGGAGTACTGTGTGCAGTTCTGGGCTCCTCGGTTCAAGAAGGACAGGGAACTGCTGGAGATGGTCCAGCAAAAGGCAACGGAGATGATTAGGGGACTGGAACATCTTTCTTATGAAGAAAGGCTGAGAGACTTAGGTCTTTTTAGTCTGGAGAAGACTCAGGGGGGATCTTATCAATGCTTATAAATACTTAAAGGGAGGGTGCCAGTGGGATGGGAACAGTCTTTTTTCAGTGTTGCCCAGTACAAGAGGTAATGGGTACAAACTTGAATGTAGGAAGTTCCATCTAAACATGAGAAGGAACTTCTTTACTTTGAGGGTGGCAGAGTACTGGCACAGGCTGCCCAGAGAGGTGGTGGCGTCTCCCACTCTGGAGACATTCAAAACCTGCTCGGATGCTGTCCTGTGCTGTAGGTGACCCTGCTCTGGCAGGGGGGGTGGACTAGATGATCTCCGGAGGTCCCTTCCAACCCCTATCATTCTTTGATTCTGTGAAAAGGCATGTGTTAAACTGTTACATAAGCTGAATTACAGTGGTATGAAGATCAATTCTGAACTACTGTGTTGTAAACACTCACCTGTTGCCCTGTTAAAGCACCAAATACAATCTCTGGTAAAAAAAATAAATTATTTATTTTTGTGTACTATCAGTGATTATAACATCCACAAGCACATCAAAAATTGACCTTTCTTGTGCTAACGAGCTACTTTCTCAATCACAGAAAGACAGCCTTAAAATGGCTTGCTTTACAAAGCATGGGGTTTCTTATTGAATGTGGTGAACTGGATGGAGGTAGTGATACATACCAATGACTGGAGACAGGAATATTATATTAAGTGTCTCAGTATTTTACAAAGTCAATTGGTTCAAGGTGTAGTAAAACTAAAAAGAAAACCAAGTATGTTTGAAATATAAATCTAAGCACAAAACATCTTCAGACAATCCTAACTGCACGCTTTTAGTGTAAATTCACAATAACTATAAAATATTGATCAAAATATATCAGTATTTCTGTTCTCAGCTTGTACTGCTTTAAAAGACAAAAAAGTATTTTCTTGCCTTTTTACCTTTTTGTATGCAAACAGTTGGAGTTAGGGATGTCAGGAAAAAGGTATTTGGGCCTTTGTGTAGAAAAGCAAGTCCCTGGGCTCATCTGACTGAATTTTGTGACTTAGTGTTTGTTTAGTCCTTGGTGTTCTGAGGAGCAGAGTTTCACCATAAAACCAGGGAGCTTAAGGTATAAAGCTGTCAAATAGCAGTATTAGTCTAAGAAAATTGAGTTACTAGGACCTAGGCTCTCATCTTTTACCAGCAGTGGCTATAGCAATTCACATGTTTTTGCAAAGTCGTTGCTTCGGAGTTCAACGCAGCACATTAAGCAGGGTTTTTTAGTGGTTTTAAATTACCGGAATGACGCTTCTTCACTACTGCTTTGACTTCTTTTTTTTTTTTTGGGGTGGGTTTTTTTAACTCTTATAGTTATTTTTTTAAGTAAAGTAAGAGGCATTTCATTAAAAAGAAGACTTAAAGTTGCCTTTGAAGCACTGCAGTCAGCGTAAAGCTCCAAGAAAACTGTGAGGTGGATGTAAACGCTAAGGAATTACAGTTAACTGGGAGATGGCAAGCATCTATTTATCTTACCTCTAAAAACTCCCACCAGTTGGCATTTCTTTAGGGATTAGCAGTCATCAATGTAATTGCCATACTGGGATAATAACGTTTTTATCTCTTCAGTGATTTGATCTATGCTCACATCTGTAGAATATGAACCTACAGGTTGCATATCTGTCTGGATCTGTGTATGCTTAGTTGCCATTATTACACTTAGTTTTTTGAATACTGGAGCATGGTGAGTGGCTTGAGGCAACCAGTTTCATTTTTGTGAGATTCTTTATGTATAAGTGGGATGCCTCAGGTCCCACTGCCAAATCAATGAGTTATATGAGGTTTGTATTGCCATGGTTTGGCCTCAGCCAGCAACAGAGAACCACGTGGCCACTCACTCAAATCCCACAGCCATGGGGGAAAATCAGAAGAAAAAGGCAAAACTCATGGGTTGAGATAAAGGCAGTTTAACAGAAGAGCAAAGGAAAGAGGAAAACAATGACAATAACATCAATAGAGGAATGTACAAACACGATTACGATACCAAACACAATTACAATACCAGGGGGCAGGCAGCCCCAGCCCGCTCTGAGCCTCAAGTTCTTGCCCCCTCCCCTGTCCAGCTTCCCCTATATACTTACATACTGGGCATGGCTGTCACATGGTATGGAATACTTGTGTCCTGTGCCAGATCCTTGGGGAAATTAACCCTGTTCCTGCCAGAACCAGGACAGTATACAGAAAAAATAATGTTGTCTTGTATGTTTGAAAGTCTGTAAAGCATACAAATACCAAATACCTGGGTTTAGCTGCCATTCATATCTAACTATCAAATACAGTAAAAAGGTAAATAACTGTTAAACCTTAATGAGCCGGACATATTTTGTCTCCTAGGTGGTATTCTAGTTGAGGGATTGGATGCAGCTGTAATACCTGTCAGCAGGATCAGATTAAGATTCAGAAAGGTTTTTTGATGTTATTTGAACTGGTATCTCATAGGAGGCAGAACATACATTCAATAAAAACCAGTGCGCTTGAAATGCTGTATCGCCCTTTACCGGTCACTGGTGACTTGAAATAGGAAGATCATCTTTCCCCCAGCAATGGGGGATTTGTTTGATTGATTATTAAACAAAGCTTGTTAACCTCTCTTTGAGAGGACATGTGAGTTACTGTAGTCCCAGTAGTCAGAAGTCACATAGACGATGGGTTTTCTTTGTTTTCTCTATGGCTGCCTGGATCATACTGTGCAAGAAGTCTGTGATGTTTATCAGAGTCACCTGGGCTAGATTAGCTAATACATCACCTGTGACTGTTTCAGTTTTTGAAGTAATTCTTCCCAGGGGTTTATGGGATTAATCTCTTACCAGCTTCACTTATCTTTGTTGTGAAGATAAATGAGGATGAACAGTCACATATATTCACATCATGTACCGTATGTTTTGATGGTTCCGTAAATGTATGTTTTAGGTTAAAGTTATTAGACTAGCTAGCTACCCATCTTCTCTTTCTTTAGTGGAGGTGAAGGGAACAGTTCACGATACATGCAGAAAGCACAGAGGTAGCCTGGTTTTGACATATGGATGTGGCAAATGGTGGCATTGACCATCTGAACTGGTGCAGTGTTTTTAAAATAAAGGAGGATGGTCTTGCCTTTGCTTGTTTCTCAATATTCAAGTGTTCTCTTTGCATTTGGAAATAGCAGTTATTTCTCCCTAATAATTAGTAGTATTTACAGGCACAATTGCAAAGTTGCGTGCCAGTGGCGAGTTGTACAGTATTAAGTACTGCTCTACAAATAATAATCATATTAGGCACCCTATATACTCACAGGAGAACCATTCTCTGCTTCTGTTTTAAGTGCATTCATTAAATATGCTGTGATAGAATGCTTCTTTGAGCAGTAAAATGGAAAACTCCTTCTGTACATTTCTTTCCTGATTTGATTTTGATATAATCAAGAGAGTCATGGGCTTATTCAAAACTTGTACCTGAAGCAACTTGAGATGACAATTGGATTTTTGGGAACAGAATTTGCTGTAGCATATTCTTCTGTGCGTAGGTATTTCAATGGAGGTAGTTCAGATTATGAACTACTTTGAGCTGGTTTCCACTACTGAATTTACTGAATCTCTCTCCTCCAGTGATGAAATGTATTCAGGAAGTAAGTTTGTAGACAGATTTTTTGCTTTTTTCCTCCTCAGTCTAATGTGCCTTGGAGAAAGACAGAATTTTTTTTTCTCACCAAGGAATGCTTGGGGAAGGATTTGGAAGTGTCTGCATGCAAGTTTTTTTAAAAAGAGCGTTTAAGCAAAATTTGAGATGAAGAGATGCTACTTCATTATTTCATTCATTGATATGGATATGTAATGCTAGACTTATTTCTAAAATCACTGAGGCTGCAGTTTATATGTCCCATATGTGAGAAGGGCATTTAAATACATGCCTAAACATTCCACTGACATAGGGATATTGTCTAAAACACATTTTCATAGCCACATATTTGTTAGAGATGAGCTGAATTTAGGAGCTGTGTGAGTTGGCAGGGTTATTGAGATGGAAACCTGTTGTACTTAGAAAAAGAACTTATTGGGATTCCCAGTCTCCCTGCTCTACAGCATTTTTTAAGATGAGCCATAAATGTTAATAGTATTGCTGTTTGTAGGTTCTTTAAACAGCATTATCTCAGTTAGACACTCAGGGAAGCGATAGAAACATGCTTAATTTCACTGTTCCCTAAATTTGTTTTGTGTGCCCTCTGCTGGCTATGAATCAGTGCAGAACGAGTGAGCAATGTACAAAGATCTGTTGCAGCACAGAGGCACCAGTGCTGAAAGAAAACTCATCCAGATGTTGCCATGGTGTTTGATTTTTATTGGGAGTGCACTGCCAAGGGGAAGTGGGCTTCTGATTTCATTTGAAGTTTGTTACCAGTCTTGCAGAAATGTGCAAAACTCGTGCCACATGTATTCAGAGGTGCTGAAGTACAGTAGTGTTTCCTGTGATTTGACAGTGTTCCCTGTCTTGGGTTTTGGCCAACACAGTCTCTTGCTTTTGTGTCTTTTCAAGCAGACGTTTCCTTCTTAAGCATCAATCAACAGGCTCAGATTACTAGCTCCTAGCTCATGCTGTTTCTCATTGCATCAGATGTCAGGCTGCAGTTCTTCCTTGAAAACTACTTGGCAGCCTGGTCTGGCTATGTTGACTCCTAAGAACATACCAGCACCAGTGTGGAAGTGTTTTACAACCACTTGTGATAGGCTCAACAGTGCCTTGAGCCTTCTTCCCTGTGCCTCCCAACATCTTCTTACATATAAATTGCACACTCAAAGGAATATGAGCTTTGCTTATTGTCAGCTTTGTCTATGCTTGCTAGTATTAGTTAACTAACACTTAATGTAGTTGTCATTATCATTGTGTATCTGGAGATAGAGGACAAGACTGCTGGTTTCCTGTACTGAAACAGCAAGTATTATCACAGTTTATGTGATAATCTTCAGTGCTATGTCCAACCATGTTTAGCTGTAGATTTATTTTTGAGTGTTATGTGGAGATGTTGTATTCCCCCTTGTCTTCCTCTCATTCCACACATCTGCAAAATGTTTACTGCCATGAAGAAAGTTAATCAAAGGATGCTCAGTAGCTCTGCTGGTCATCAAGCACATCTCCAAATTTTAGATAAGATGCGCAAGGTGCTAATACGTTACCGATTACACCATGTTGTCTAGTTGCTTTAAATGCAACAATACACCTAAAGCTTTACATTTTCTGCATGAGCACCTGAAGTGTTTTGAAGGCCGGCTTTTGCTCTGGTACACAAGTGTGGATTACAGTGAACTTCATGTATGGATTACCATGAGACCAGCCAAATCTAAATGCACGAGTCTAAAGTAGTTTCAGAGTAGGGGTAAAGGGGAAGTCTGGAGTTACTGCAGGTGCCTCAGGAACCTAAAGCAAACAATTCTGACTGGAGCCATGACTGCTCAGTAACTGGTTGCAGGAATTGATGAGCAGAGATGAGACGGTGTGTGAATAAAATTTTGGCTAAAAGGGAAGGACTAGTGTTATTGAGTCATTTAAAGATGAGATTAGTTTTTTTCTGCAGGGTGTATTTGCATTGCCTGTGGGATGGAGTAGGTCCTATCTTTTGGTGGACATAGATTGTATTTATTTGTGTAGATGTACTAGTACTTAATCAAAACTGTTATAAGTTTGCAACTGACAGTGGGCATAAAGCTTTAGCACAGTCCTTTGCTTTTTGTTATAAGATCCATGTACAGAAAGAATATTGGCTGCTTTATGTAGATCATGAAGCAGGAAGACTTAAGAAGATAATTGACAGACAAGGGGAGTCCAGTCGTTTATCTTGGTTACCCATTCTGTACAGAGGAAGCCAGTGGAACACATGACGGAGAAAGGAAGATTTTTGCATACCTTGAGGCATGGAGTGTTTTACATGTTAACAGTGACTAGTCCCGTAATAAAATAAAACAGGAAGAATAAAAAGGAAGAATAATAACCTTCTGGGATTAAGCCTGGCAAGATTAGTTACTCTAGGTGGCCTTTGCACAATTTTTGATCACAGCTCACAGGGTTTTGCCATAACTGAGGGAGTCTGGCATGCCCTTTTAATTCAGAAATACAAAGTGTAGGCCTTAAACAGCTGATATTGAGATATATCCCGTTTCACCTCAACCTGACATGTTTGCCTTTTCTTTATTAAAAACTGATTACCCTGGAAACTGCTGAGATTAAATAACTTATTTCCAATGGAGTCCAAATGGCTGTGATGACATTTTTTCTTCATTTTGGTATAGTCAGACAGTAGAAGGAAATGGATGGTAGCAAGAAAAATCCATTCTGTATGCCCATCATGGAATATGATGAGATATTATAATGCACGCCCACCATTTTAATTACAGAGCTTCGGTTGGTTTTGGGTCTGAAAACACGGCAGTTTAAAAGGAGAGGACACCTGAACTCCAACTTGACTTTAATAAAATGTTGCAGCAATTAAGACAGTCCTGGAGAGAAGGAAATAGAGACACTTCTAATTAGTTGTGATACACATTTTTTGTGAATTAATACATTTTTATTTATAAAATTCATACCATGCAAATCACAGGGGGAGAGGTATGTATACTATGCAAGATTCCAATGTCTGGAAAAGCTTTTTCTGGTGGCCTTGAATTTGTGATCCATTCTGTTTAACCTACCCCTGTACTTCATTAATCTGCCAAGGGCTAGAAAATCGCTTGCTACTGAGATCCCTTGACTTTTTTTGTCTTTCAGCATGCTCTGAAAAAGCCTTTGAGTCAGTTTGCTATGATACTTGTTGAAGTATCCTTAAGTTCCTGAGGAAGGTCTGCGCACATACATCAGATTGTGTAGTTGACTGTTTGCATTATTCTTTTGTTGTGAAGCTGAGGCTGTCATACCTATGTGAGATTTGGAGGCAAGCAAGGAGAGCTGTTGCATATTTCTTGAAACTATCTTTGAGGCAGTGTTGTTTTCCTCCTGTTAGGGCTATACTGGCGCTTCCTAGAAAGAAACTATGTAATTCCTTTCTTTTTTTAACAATTCCTTTCCTTAAAGGAAGTTTGAACTGTGTACTTGAACATAGTTACTTATACCCCGGTCATGGATACTAAGTCCTTTTGAATAATCTTCCCTGTATTTAGATAGTCTACTTGTATTTATTTTAAGCCTGTGTTTAAAGCTTTTAAAGCTTTTAGAAGCACCTAAGACTTACTAAAACTATGACAAACATAAACTGCACTGACGTCTTTGTTATGTACATATTTTTGTCTACCAGTGCTACTAAGTGTTGTGCTTATTGCCACATATAATTCCACTGCTCTCTCTGGGATCAATTATCTGTTGAACTACCTGAAGCAACCAGTTTTGTCTGGCCTGGGTAACGAAGTTGAAAGTAACTTGGTGTGGGTAAAATCTGAAAGCAGAACAAAGTACATTGTAATTTTAGTTTCCTACAACCATGTGTAATGTCCTATGGGTGCAAGCAAATGATTGCCTGTAAATGACAGGTTGGAGAATGTACATTCTGCATATGTTAGACTTAATGTAACCACTTCTGCCTTTTCTGATGTGTTGCACAGGTTAACATTCAGCCTTCTGAATGGCACCGCTCCGTACTGCTGCCACAGTCCTGGTTAGGATTTATGAATCGAACGTACAATGCAGTCCTGCAGGTAATTTCGAGGTATATAATATTGTGCACATTAATGCTCATTCAAGTGGTACGAGTTTTATTTCTACCAGCAGGACCATCCATGCAAGTTAGAATAATTTAAAAATAAAGCTTGAGGTGTTTCATAATAAAATTTATTAAAAGGAACTAAAAATGACTCTTCATTTAATGGGAGCACAGTCTGGGATACGTTGTAGAAGTTTAACTTCTGCTTACCGTTCAGGCTCTTGCAGTCATGTTCCTGTGTGAAGTTGCAGAATTTGTCAATTGTTAGGATTTTTAGAATGTGAAATTTTAGCTAGAGCTCTAACCTGTTATTTTGGTAGGAATTTTGTAATAATAGTATCACAAAGGAGACAGAAGCTATCAAGGAATGATTAATTAAATACAACTTCTCTTAACCAGCATGTAATTCTGTCACACTGTGAGGGACTTGTCTTTTGATTTTTCTACCCTATATAATGATTAGGAAATATCTTAAAACCTCTCTTTTATTAGGTTAGCTGGTCTGCTATCTAGATCAGTGTAGTGTCATTTGTTTTTTCAAGAGGGAAATGATCTAAAAGACTTTTAACAAATAGCTGCCTTCTAGAAGGCTCTGTTTGTGCTACTAGAAGGGCTTATTTGTATTTCCAAGCCACATCAGCTGTTTTCAGTGTGAGCAGCTCAGGTTGCTGAGTGGATTCTGGAAGCTTTGACTGCTCCTTGTTTTGCTGTGTAGTGAAACATATGCTCCTCTAACATTTTCAAAAAAAATTTTATCTTGGCCATCAGCAAAATATAAGATTCTAAGCAGAGCCGGCCCCATTACAAAGCAGGCAGCTGCTATTCAAATTGTAATTTTAGGTCGTAACTACAGAGGGGGACATTGTTGCTTGCATTTAATTGCTTTCCTATTTTGCTTCCCCTCTGAGGCAAGATTTCACAAGAAGCTTGGCATTTACCAGGCTTATTTCTGAAAGACTCTCTAGGATTTTGTGCCATTTTTTGTTGCTTCTGGAGTCCCTCACTAGAGACTTTTTTTAAAAAAAACTGAGCCCTAGTATCTTTATTTACTTCTTGTGCTTCTTATACTATATTTCATCTGAGATGACCGAAAGAGACTACAGTGTAATATGAGTAGTCTATATAGTACATAATTCAGTATGTCTGGACAGACAGTAGAGTAATCATTTCTGCAGTTTGGAGGCAGATGTTTGTAGAGTCCAGTTTGCCAAAATGCTGTGTGAGGATTTTTTTCCCTTTGGACACCTGAAAGTCCTCTTGTCTTTTGTGTCTACTCACATGATTAAGCACTTCTGCCATTTTTTGCATTCAGCGTCTTTTTGAGACTGAAATCAGCTTTGTTGTTATGATCCTATAGGTCTTGATTTAGTAGAGAACTTAAGCCAGTGTTTTTGTGTTTGGGGAAATTGCGGTAGGTTTTTGCATAGTTTTATGCAATCTTCTCTTTACTCAGGGTGTTGTATCTATCTGCTCCTTTAATCTCTGTTGAGAGTCACCTTTCGAGTGACATCTGGATTTACAGGTTGACTCGTGTTTTCAGGTTTTTATGCACACCCAATCTGCAAGCATTCAATACCTGAAAAACACTTCTTCTGTGCCTAGATTTTTCACTTAAGGCTTAATAACCTACTAAGGCGCAGTAACTGACAACCTAAACAAGCTGAGATGTAGTCATCTCACCGTTGGAGACTGAACATAAAGCAAAGCTGCTTAATATGTTTCGGTAACAATTGTTAGAGGCCAAAATCCATATCATGTCCTTCAAGGTACGGAAAGAACTGTTGCAGGAGATCACACGGAAGTTGGCGTCACAGAAGGGAAAAGGACAAGGAATTCTGCTTTAAGTAATGAATCGAGAACGTGATGTTTTGCTGTTCGAATCCATTTTAACAAGCAGGCTTCTGAATCTCACTCCTTGCTTGTTGTACTCCTTCCCAAGGGAACGTGTCCGTTTGCATGGACTCAAAGAGATGTCTCGGTATCTGTGGCTGTTTGGCCATCTGCAGCTTGTTTTCCTCACTCACAATAAAAAATTATCAATTAATTTACTTAATATATTGTCTATTACAATGGGATCCCTATCAAAAACAGTTAAATTAACTTATGAAGTAGCCCTCAAGTGGAAGGCTACATCCGTCACCTAAGTGTTTTCTGAAGAAATCTTATGATGATTGGCCATGTAAGATCCACTTCTGACTTATTCTGTAATTCTGCAGGGGAGGCAGGCAGAGCTGGAGATGCAGTTAAAGCATGGAAAAGAGGATCCTGAAGAGGTGCAGTACAAACAATTTACAGCCTGGCTCTGGTAAGGGAGTGCCTCTCTGCTCCTTATCACTTGTAATGGCAAGTAAGGGGGCAGAGGAGTGCAAGGCTTCAGAGTCTTTAATTTTGCAAGCTGAAAGACTGTATGACCAGTAATGAAAAAAAAACCTCACCAGATAAATGACCAAGGCAGGGGGGAGGCGGAAAGAAAGAGACTACTAGGTAAGTGCCTGTAAGGATTCCAATATGTACGGGTTCACAGGTACCTCCCCATTTACAGTGTCTGAAAGTTTGTAGGGTAAGCAACTGGGAGGAATGGAAAACTATATTTGGTTTCTATCACATTAAAGCAGAAGGATTATGCAAAGAGCAAAACTTAATTGTAGATACGAAGTGAGCTGTCTCACTGAAAATGTCTTGATAAAAGAAGTGTAAGCCATGGAAGTGTTAGATAAATTGTTATGGTTGTCCATTGTAAAACATTCTCATTTTATTATACTGAGACATAGCACAGTGGTCTGGAAACTCATGTGTAACAGCTCAAAGAACAGATTTATGGCTGTTGCATGAATATGTGTTTTACAAAAAGTGGTATGAAGTCAAATGAGAATCTTTTATGAAATACTGGTAGTGCACATAAGCATGAAGAAATGTTGGGTGGTGCATAAGCACTTTCACAGTTTTTTACAGATTAATTTGTACTAAGTCTTCTGGTAGGTAAGTGTTAACCTAGAATGGACACATGTATGGCATAAGGGGAAATTAGCCGAGTTTGTGCTGTAGTGTAATGAACATGGTGTAAACTCTTTTTGTTTCTGTTGCAGGGTCAGAGATATGTTAACTGATGTCATCAAAGGTGCTTCCAAGTAAGAACTGCTAATTTATTACAGATGAGAATGGGTTCTCTTTTGTGGCAGAAGATGTAAGATAATATTTTCTGGAATTGGTTATCTGCTGATTTTATGATTTCACATCAGTGCTGTTCAGGAAGGGAACTCTTCCCCACCTTGTGCTTTGAGATTTTTACCATTGACTGTGTCTATTAGAAAGGCTGATGCCTGATGTTTTGAGTAAAGCTTGGGCAGTGCTATATGCTCTATAAGTCTGTTCTTTTTTTAGCTAGCAGGCTGTTTGCCTCAAGTAGCTTCATTTAGCTAGAAGTTGGCTGATCTTTCGTGGAGTATGGGCTGTTCAGAACTGTCCCACTTTCTGCTAAGGTGTCTGTCTTGTGCCCAGATGTCTCCAAAAACAGGAAAGTACAGGTTTTCAGATTATGACAGGCTTGTTCATTTGCTGTTAGAATTAGCACATGGCTTTCAGGCAGCAATAGTTTTCTAGCCTTCCTTCATGGGCTGCTAAAGTGGTTTGACTTCTCCCTTTCAATCTCTGCTGGCAGTTAGCTTCCTATTATGCTTTGCCCTTCGTTAACCTGAAATTGGCCACTTGCACAAAGTTAAGCAAAAGCATCAGAAATAGTGAATCCTCATAGGAACAAGTACTTAGACAAATCATAAGGATGTCGTCATTGAAAGAGTTACAGTGAAATCTCAAAGAACGTTTCAACATTGTTATTCTTGTAAACATATAAAAGACAAGTTTGAAATACTTTTGCGAGTTGAGAGTTCTGGAGATTTTAATTAGGACTTTCCATATAGGTTTGACCTTTTTCATTTTTTAGCTTATCATTGTTCAGATATTTAAAATACTCCCAGCTGTTCCATTTCTTTGCATGTCAGTCGATCTTGAAGGAGTCAGAGAGGGATGAAATTGGAAGATCTGTTTGATATTTTAGCTACTCAATAAATACCTATGTTTCTTTCAGGAACAGCAGAAGGATTTCTTGTGCATAGATCACATCTCTCATCTGCTTATTTGCTCACTTTCTCTTAAGAAAACACTGGTGTTTTCTCCCATATTTTCAATAAAGACTAAGATACTGATCTTTTTCCTCCTGGGGCTTGTTAGGATGATGATTTTTACCTTCATTAAATTTAAAGCATCCAGCTTTCATGAGTATGTAGATTTAGAAGTTTCTCTCTATTTGAGTTACATCTTGAAGACCCCACATGGAGTACTGTGTCCAGCTCTGGAGGCCCCAACATAAGAAGGACATGGACCTATTGGTGTGGGTCCAGTGGAGGGCCACAAAGATGATCAGAGGGCTGTAGCACCTCTCTTGTGAGGAAAGGCTGAGGGAGTTGGGGTTGTTCAGCCTGGAGAAGAGAAGGCTCGGGGGAGACCTTATAGCGGCCTTCCAGTACCTAGTGGGGGCCTACAGGAGAGCTGGGGAAGGACTTTTTACAAAGGCATGTAGTGAAAAGATGAGGGGAAATGGCTTCAAACTGGAAGAAGGTAGATTTAGATTAGATACTAGAAAGAAATTTTTCACTCTGAGGGTAGTGAAGCACTGGAACAGGTTGCCCAGAGAAGCTGTGGCTGCCCCATCCCTGGAGGTGTTCAAGGCCAGGCTGGATGGGGCTTTGAGCAACCTGGTCTAGTGGGAGGTGTCCCTGCCCATGGCAGGGGGCTGGAACTCAATGATCTTCAGGGTCCCTTCCAACCTAAACCATTCTATGATTCTATGAAATGTAACCTTTAGAAGTTGATCATCAACAACATGAAAGGTTCTATACGTAGACTAGGCACAGATTTAAGGCAAGGGATATGGGAGATTTTAAAGAACTTAACTGAGCGCTTAGTTGTAATTATTTGTAGGTATCTCTTATCTGAAAGGAAATAGTTTCAGTGTTCCAAACAGGAGAGGTCAATGACGTTCCATTAAGACCTGGGTGTCTTATTTTAAAAAGAAAATCAGAAATCCAGAAAATATTTTTATTGTGAAAATGAGATCTTTGGATCTGGAACAAATACCTAAATTTGCAGTGTAGGAGTATTTTTACAGCAACAGTTGAGGAAGTTTTTAGAAATGGAAGACTGATGCAAGAAGTGTAGTGCACTGTCTGCTGGTCTAGTGTAAGCCTGTAAGTGGTCTAGTACAGTTGTATTGTTCAGCTGCTATTGTAAAACAACTAAGAGAGTTCCTGCAGAATTATATTATAATACGTTTTTCTGGGAATGAATAGGATATTAACATCTATCTTTTCATGAACACAGTTATATTCTCTCTCTTATTTGTAGGTGACAGATATTTTTTTTCCTTGTGTTCCATAAGAGTAAAGGTTTGCACTGTGGTAGAAGTTAGTACTCTTTGAAAGCTGTCATTCTCCATGATGTTAATGTTTTCATAGCACAGGAGAGTAATTCAAAACTTTTTTTAAGGTGAAATTTTAGTGATGGCTGCTCTGCTAAATCTGCTGAACAGATGCTGTTGCAGTGAAACGGCACCTGCCTGTCTAGCATTTGCTGTTTGAAGAGCTTTTTGTGTTGTGTTGTCCTGTGTAGAGGTGGTACTAGTGAAGACCAACTGGTGCATTTCTGTAAGTGCTCCTTGCTCTGCAGGGTGGCAGTCATCGTTAAAGTGGAAGCAGGCTTCTGGTTTTATACAACTTAGTGTGTGCTAGGCTTTATATAAAGACAAATAAGAAAAAAGACTGAAACACTTCTCCATTCTTTCTCTAATCCCCGAAGATGAAATGTGATAGACTTTTGCTAAGCTAGAAAACAGCACAGTGAAGTTGCTAGGTGCAAAGGCCTTTCCTCCTGGACCACCTGTAGCATAACTTTCCTGAGCTGAGATACATGTTTTGTTGGCTGCATCTCTACTACACTTCTTAACTCTACCTTTTTTTTGTCCAGAGACAGCTCAGTGGTGAAAGGAAACTCTATTTTTGCCTTAACTGGTCTTGCAGTTGCTGTAGCCAAATATGAAAGCAGCCTTTCCTCAGACACTGAAGGGATGCCTGAGGTGAGTCAATCTGAGAAAGAAATTCTCTGCTCTTAGTGGAATATAATGAAGCAGTATGACCGGGTGTTTAAGGGACTGGTAAGTGGATGCGCTGTACTTAGTAGTACTTGAAGCTCAAATTTCACCCTGCTCAGTGAATGCCATCAGGTAGCTGCTGTGTGACCTATGCAAAAGCAGTCAGAGTGTGTAGGTGCCTTCTGGCACAAGAAACATAATGGATACCATTTATTTCTTGGTTTTCACAGATGAGATGGAGGTCTAGTGGACAATGAAACCCAGCCAATCTCTTTTCTCATCTCTTAATCAGTTACAACAAAGTGTTTTAAAGTGGCATACTTGACACACTTCCTATTTTGGCATCAGCACAGCATCTCGTAATCTTTCACCAACCGTGATGGCCCAAGTTTTATATGTAGGGATAAGAAAGATCTTAAAACCAAACAATCAACCAAAGAAAAGCTGAGATCAATGGGTATTTATTGTAGGCTGGATTAAACACATACACTGATATGGGCAACTTTTGCTAATGGACCCAGAAAGCTTAGGGTACATAAGTCTTGCAAGGAAAGGAAGATAATGCTCTCAGAGCCCTTTTATTTGTTTCATTGTGGTGTTTTCTAGTGGCCTAAAAATATTTTTTGGGGGGAAGGGAGGATGTACTAACTTGCTCAGGCTTTTTTTATCTGCTGTCTTTGAAGAGCATTTTGACTGAAACTTCTGTGACCTGGCTAATGGTAGAAGAGCATCACAGTGTGACAAAACACGAGATATGTTGAGATATGAGCAACTATATGAGAATAGCTGCTCACAGAAGGAAGCTTAACAACTTATGTAGAAATGTAAAAGAAAACAGTGAGGGAGGGAAGAACTTCTAGTCGAGTAATGTGTAAAAACATGTCAATAACTCATTTCCATGCTGAAAAGCTACATGCATCCATGATTGCTCAGCATCTGAGAGACATTTGTGGTAAACTGGATAGTCATTCATTGCTATTTTGTTCCTTCTGTTAAGACTAGTTAATATACTGCTCCTTAAATCTGAGAAAACGCAATGTCTTGCCATCCTTGCCCCTACATTTATTTGAATTCTACCTAGAGTGAAAAGGCTTTTGAGCCACACATGTAATAGGGAACCCACAGCTTGTTAGCAACAGAGTGGATCACAGTTCAAGGTAGCAATTCTAAGTAACAGCAGTTGAACTATATATTATTTATGACATGGATTATTTGTAACATGGATACTTTTTTTGTCACAGGGCAAGTTGAGATTGCTGGTTAGTTTCATGTGTGTGAGGAGCTGGGTATGATACATTTTCCTAATGCCTTTTATTTTTGGCCAAACCTTTAAATGAACGTGTGGGGAGACAGGATCCAGGTTTTTAAATGCCTTTGGTCTGCCTATATGTGGTAGCTACCTCAGTTGAATGTAGGTGTTCCTGATATAATTCAAGAGACTGAAATGCTGAGCCTAGATATCCTTGGAAGGTTTTGTGCTTTATAACCAAGGCAAAATAGTATGACTACTCAAATAGTCATACTTATTTTTTTGTGGTTGCATTTAATTTATGCCTCGGGCTGAAAGGATTCATGAAATCTGTAACTTATACAGAGCTGCAAGAGTTCAGAGTTGTGAAGGTGTTTTGGCTTTTTCCCTGCTGTTGTTGTGAGGCTGCCTTACAACTATCATTTTTGCTTTCGCTGAATAGTACCCAATCAAAAGTATTGTCTGGAGGGTCAGCATTGGCAAGTAAATCACACTACTTACTGTACATAAGAGTGACAAAATAATCTGATTGCTGATGGATCATAGCTGGAACATCAGCTGCTAAGCTTCTGTTCAGGTAGGACCTGATTTACGAAAAAAGATGAGTATTTGGGTTTCATTTTTTGCAGACTGAACCTGATTTTCTTCCCACAAAACACTGGATTTCTATGGTCACGGAAACCCTCTTTAGTATTGTGAATAGCCGCTATCACCCTAAAGGTCAAGTCTTCCCATGGTTCTACCAGGTACGTGTTGTGGTGTTAAAGGCAAGAGAATATATCTGTATTTCATACCTGGAGTGCTTAGTGTGTGGTTTCCTGATTCTCTTTGCCCTGTAGTAGTTGTAATACAGGAGAATCAGAACTTTTCTTCCTTTTGTTCTTTTTGTTTCATCGTGTTTTCTGCTTATATTTGGGTTTGCCTTGAGTTTTTGTCTTTATTACCAAAATAGCAAAAAACACGTGTGAGGATACATGAATGAAGGAAATTTTAAAAACAAAAAACCCCTTCAAAACCTAGAATATTTGGCATGTATGTACAAAACAAAACCTTCTAACACAAACAGACTCTCCTCAGACCACACTATCAAACTCTTGATTCTGACACAATTCCTTAGGACTCTGAAATGCATACTTTTTCAAAATCTAATAGTTATGGAGCCAGTGATTCTTATTTTACAGTACCTCTTGAACCCCTGAGGGCCAGTACAAGTTTTATCATATGTGCTTGCAGTGTGACAACCAGCAGGAAATTCTCAAGCCACATAAGTATCATGCAGTTCTTAAGGAGGACCTGAAGATGGACGGAAAGCTCAGTATAGGCCTTAAGGAATATGTATTGCTAACTCTTCACTGTCTGTGGTCAAAACGACCAGGTTGGAGATTCTTTGTGTCATGGATGCAGAAGGGAACTTGGGTCCTACAAGGCCAAATACCAACCTGATAACGTATGGTAATGTTTTCTAACTTGGAACTTCATTAACTGCATTCATGAACTGTGTTTAGTCCAGTAGATGAGATGTTAGCATGAAAAAGCTGAAAGTTACTGATGAACCTGCGTCAGGTCTGGTGTGTGACCCCTGTCATCACTGATAGGAGCATAGATGATCAAATCAAATGTAGTGTTAAATAAATGCTAGACTGGTTGGATGGAACGAGATTCAACTACTTGGTTGGCACGAGCAGTTCTTGCCAAATTGTTCTGTGACTCCTGGCTTTGAAAATTAGGCAGTTAAAAAAAGGTAGTTTTGAGATGGAACACTGTGACAATGTTGCATTTCTAAAATCCACTCTGTTAAAAAAAAAAAAAAAAATTAAAAATCTTATGCTTGTAAAATTCTAAGGCACACAATAGAAATCACTGTCCTGCAGAGTGCCTTGCATTCTGGTGGGATATTTCGCTTTTTCTTTTCAGAGTTGGGTGTGGAGGTTGATAAATATGCATTAGGCTATTACTTACAATCGATCCATTGCTTTATAAGTAGAGGTAGCTGTACGGATTTTACCTTTCAAAATGGAAAGGAATTAAAAACCTTTGTAAGCGATCTTTCTTCTAGAAAGCGTCTCTACTGGTGATCTTGCAAGATCTAACAATATTTTGTCGTCTGGGGTATGGTGCTTTTTACAACTCATTGAAGTCTTGGTGTGTTACAATTACCGAAGTACATTAAAATCATGGCTGATTTCTGTTTGCCCTTCTGGTCACACTGGTGGGTATTTTAACAAGGAGGGTTAAAACTGAAATAAATCGATGTATTTATGTGCAGACCAGTAGTTAAATTCTAGTTGCGTCCTGTGTTATCCTTTGTTTAGAGTTTCATACTTAATCTTATTTACGCTTAGAAATTATATTCTGAATTACTCTGGTTTTAAGCTGCTCACGAGGTAACGCAAATGGAAATGTTACCATAGGCAATACATCTGTGCTGCTGTTTGCTGTATAGGTATTTATTTTAAATTCCTAATGTGCTGAGTCTTACTACCTAGAAAGGAATTTTATTTCTCTCCCCCAAGAGGAAAAGAAAAAAAACAACACACCTTTCTTATGTTTTTCTAGAAATCCTATTCGGGCGAAAATACTGCTAGTATTATAGCTCGCTCCTGTGCAGCCACTGCTTTGTCTCTCCTGGTGCCAGTTTTCATTGTATCATGCAAGGAGAAGGTTGAGGAGGTCCTGAATATGCTGACTGACAGATTACCTGGGAAACCAAATGCTGATGAGTCTCAAGCTGTTCAAATCCACATGGGCCTTGGTTTGGGGATGTTTATCTCACGTTTGTATGAAGAAAAAGTCAGGTAAGGATTACCGTATGTAATGTAGGTATGCAAATAACTTCCTCCTTTTTCCTGCATGTGGCCTTAAATTCTGAGGAATTAAAGTATTTACAAGTCATAGGCAAATGATTCTTGAGGGGTTTCTTAAAAGGTGTCTTTCATTATCAGCACCCAAGTGCTGTCCTGGATATTTTGCCATTCTTTCAGGGGGAATGATTAATTTTCATAATATCCTAAGCTACATGTGCAAAGCAGTCAGCTAGAAGAGCCACACATATGCTCTTAAAGAGGACTAGCTGCCCTAGAAGACTTAATGGTAAAATAATTCACAGTTCTCAACGATTCCTTTCTAAGTGGTGCTCTGGACACTGGATGGTGCCACTTAAATCGTGTGAGTTACACAGATGGGGATAGAGCTACAACAGAATTAGTGTAATGGGCTGTCTTTAAGGCATGCTGTTACAGCTATGTTGACAAAGAAGCGATATTTTGAAGTTGGTAGAAAATGCCTCCTTTACATAAGAGTTGGCCTCAGTTGCAAATTTCCAATGATTCCAGAGAAATTACGAAGTAGGTTTGGCTTTATACTTCTCCAGCTTCTTGACTACTGGGGATTCTGTCTGCCTATATACCTATAATAAATGTTTAATTGGTGCACAGGTATCAAACAGATTTGGCTGTCAGTTGTTAGTTTGCTAATGTTTCTGATGCACCTGCCTTTGTTAAAATACCGTGCAGCATTGCTCTCTTCTAATCTTCGTGCTTGGGTGTCTTGATGCCTTACGGCCTCTGGCTTGGCTACATAATTTGGGAATAGACTCTATGGACAGTCAGCAGTGACAACTGAGCTAGACACAAGAATTAAAAGGCTCTTAAAGAAAATTATGTTAGATCAGCTTGGTATTTTGGAGTATGTGAATCTTTATTTCGGGTTTGGGGTTTTTTGTTGGTTGATGAGGGGTGTTGAAATGAATAAATTTATCTAAAAATTTCATATGGACTAAGTAAGTTTTTATTCTTCCACTTCCCTGGATAATTTCAAAGTTAATCTCACACATTCTTCCAAGCATTGAGTTGCAACAACAGCAAAACTAGTAGGGATGTAGCTATAGCTAATATCAAATCATAGTTAGTTTGCATTAAATATGTCCTGTTCACTAGGCATGTGTATGTTCTTTTTAAAAGGGGATTCCCTATGATGTCTTTGGATTGAGATGAAAATGCTTCCTTCTTTATCAGTAAGTTAGGCAAAAAGATGGAGAGAGAGATTTATGGAGGTAGTATCTTAAAATGTCATGAATTTTCAGCTTATTAATAGTTGCAGGTCTAGCTGAGATCATGTTCTATCAGTATCTTCCTCCTACTCTCAGGCATGTTTTACAAATCCTGGGTGCTGGGTTTTTTTCTGGGTGTTGTAGAAATAATAATGATTGCCATTTAAGGTCTGAATATGTTTTTATTATTTGTATATGAGTATGTTTATATGAATGTGATACAAATGACCAGTCATATAGTTATTTCTTACGAACTAGTATAAGAACCTGTTGCAGCAAGAAAAAAAAACTGTATTTACTGGCACATTCGGTCTTAGCAGGAGGTTTTACTTCCTATATGATCTAAAAAGCAGAGCTGTGTTAGGGATTTTTTTGGTTTCTGTTTTGTGTTGGTTTTGTAGTGATGTACCTGGTCAACAGATGAACTTAGTTCTAATGAAGTCCCTGGATGCTTTGGAAGACTGCTGCTTTGACACCAGTCTGGAGTACAAGTGAGTTTTCTTCATTGATGATGATACTTTGTTTTATTTTGAGCTCCACCTTTTTAATTCATGCTTTTATTCCTTAATTCTACACAGAAGAGTATAAGGATAGGGTAAGGACACAGCCTGTTCTGAGGATTTCCATAGAATCACCAACCCATGCAGGTGGGCAAGACCTCCTTCAGAGGTCCGCGTTCCTCCCCAAAACAGACTCAGCCGTGGACTTGGACTACATTGCCTAGGGATTTATGGTCAGGGTTTGAAACCCCCAAAACTGGAGACAGCACATCATCTCTGAGCCCTGGCTCCACTCTTTGGCTGTTTTTATCTCCATGTGAATGTGATGTTTCAGCTTGTGTCTGCTGCCTCTCAGCCTCCCACCATGCAAGAGCCCAGCTACATCTCCTCAATCCTTTTCTGTCAGTGTCACAGATTCTGTTGGATATCCCCAAAGCCATCCCTTCTCCCAGGTGAACCCGCTGTGATCCCACAGGCTTTCCTCTTAGGACAAGGGCTCCAGACTCGCTGCCACAGTGACCTCCCATTAACTTGTTCCAGTTTTGTTGGTGTCTTTCCTGTATTCAAAGCGGTTTTCCAGTTGTGTTGGTGAGCACAGAGTAGAGGGGTGATCTTTCCCCTGACTCTCATGGCTGTGTCTTACTCATGCTGCCTGTACGCTGCTGGCTGTCATCGCTGCCTGGGTGCATGTCTGGCTCCAGCTCAGCTTGCTGCCCACCAGTGCTGAGGGGCCGTTCCCAAGAGCTGATGCCCAGCCTCTCTAGTCCCAGCCTGTCTGTTGCCAGGTGCAGGACTGCGAGATGGTGCGTGTTGAATTTCAAGATGTTCCTGCTGGTTTATTCGTCTGTGTACCATCTCTTCTAAGTGAGTGTGTCCATAAATAAATAGATAAATAAAATACATTATATATTAACATATGTAAGTATATCCATGTGTGCATAGAAGGGTCTAAAGCACAAGTCTTATGATGAGTGGCTGAGGGAACTGGGGTTGTTTAGCCTGGAGAAAAAAAGGCTGAGGGGAGACCTTGTTGCTCTCTACAACTACCTGAAAGGAAATTGTAGCAAGATGGGTGGTAGGATGAGAGGAAACAGCCTCAAGTTGCGCCAGGGGAGGTTTAGATTGGATAGTAGAAAAACTTTCTTCACTGAAAGGGTTGTTGAGCATTGGAATGGGCTGCCAAGAGAAGTGGTTGAGTCACTGTCCCTGGAGTTATTTAAAAGACGTGTAGATGTGGCACTTAGGGACATGGTTTAATGGTAGACTTGGCCGTGTTTGGTTTATGGTTGGACTCAATGATCTTAAGGGTCTTTTCCAAGCTATACGACTCTATGATTCTGTGTTTCTGTACATCTAACACAACACACACATTTTTTTCCATACAGTCACTACTGCAAGGTGAAAAGAAGCAATGACCACCACTGCTAATCCCTGCCAACCCACAGGTTGTACAGTGAACTCCACAGTCTTGCTTACAGGCAGTGGGAAGACTCCAGCAATTCTATGAGCATGGTTGCTCATCCTACCTGCACATGTTCGTTAATGAAAGATGTTTTTGAAAGTCCTCCCTTGGTGTTCTTGGGTTGTTGTCGAAGTGTTCAGTGAAGTCTAGCAGCTGCTGTGCTGGAGCCTGTTACTGGGATGTGCATGTGCACGCAATACAGTGTGAGCTCTGGGAGCAGCTGCCTCGTGTGGCTTTTTTCTTTGGGAGAGCCAGGCCTTTAATGTAACAGCTGTGGATGGCATGTTGAATACTGAGTAAAGCAAATTTATTTCATTTAACCAACTGAGGTTATGCCTCAGGTGTCCCAAAGAGAGGAGCAGCCCACCAGAAGTGCAAGAAATTATTGAAAGCTATTGCACAATTGCTAGCATTGGCAAACCTGGAATAATTGAACAATAAAACCTGTGTTAGTTGTCATTAAACAACTAACATAATGTGGTCGTATGTGTCTTGCACAGTAGTCATTTCCTTTTTAAATCAGGGAAGGAACTGAAGTATGTTGAGTGCCTCAGTGTTGGTGCATAGGGTTTGATTTGATTTTGAACATTATTCTGCCCAGCTCTTCCTTGTTCAAAGGAAACGATAATTTGTGTCTACCTTTGCCCTCCCATTCTCCAGTGGACCTTATGAAAAGCTGTGAGGGGTCACAGTTGCACACCATTGGGCTGTGAACCTGGGTTGCCTCTTGAGAGGCACACAGTGAGACCCATGGTGGACAGGGGGCTGCATCAGCTACATCTAAAAGCTACAGCTACAGCTTTGTTATACCTATTGCTGTTTGTTTGTGCAGCCTATTAGCTGGAGAAGAGAAAAGCCAAACTAGACTTCTCTGGCAGTGAAAGGTTGCCAAAAGAATACAAGATGATGGCAAGCACAAGAGGGAAGAATGAAGGGTGGGTGGTTTTTTTTATCCTGGGCATAATGGCTACAGTTTTTAAAGTTTAATGGTGAGTTGGTATCTAGTGTAAGCGCTCTTTGTGAACAGCGAAGTAATGTAAAGCTGTAAATGTTGTGAACTTGTCCAAGTTTGGCATTCGTCCACTTCTAAACTGCTATTCCAAAGCAAGGGCCTTTCTAGCCTTTCTATCCAATATGATAGGCACAGCTAACTGTGGGACTTAGTGTTTCACTGACCTTTTCATCAGTGTTTCACCCCTGCTAAACTAGCTATTCTCTTTCTGTTAAAATAGGTAGCGAGTTTTTTGAGAGCAAGTATATTATGCGGTACAGATATGGGAGGGACAGAGTTCATGCGTTGTGGCATGCCTCCTGATTCCTTTAGAAAATGTGCCTCTCTGCTCAGTAACACGCTTCTGCAGGGTGTTAAGTGAGACATCTCACACACTGAAGGACGTTATCAAGAGAGTTTTTTGCTGAATTTTTGTGTTTTGTTTTGGTTTTCTGCGTTGAGTGTCTAGGTAAGAAAGTGGTTTATCAATGCGTGTGCTATGCAAACTGGAGCTCACACAACCATGCTTCACTGATCACATCAGCCTTGGTTTTATATATAGTTTTCTTCATTTAATGAGGAGAATTCTCTTTTTAAAATCAGTGGAGAAGCAGAAGTAGTAAGAGGAATGAAGAAGACAGAGTTGTTTTCAATAGGCAGCAAGAACCTTTCCCTGAACCAGTGCTTTAGCTTGGTGAGAGTCCACTTATGTTCCCTAAGAATCTCTATGTATGTGTAAGTTGCATAAAATACTCTAAACTTAACATTTCCTCTCAGAAAAGGTCACTGTGAGAATAATGCTCGTAAATCAGTACTCTTATCTGTCATAACCACACAGGAAGAAGACAAAAGTAGAACTCATAATCTTTTAATGGGGGAAAAACATTTCAGATAGTTAAGCATGTTAATATGATGTTTCTTCAGTTTTTAACTGAAACAAAGTTTCCTAGATTGCAGAGCCTTAGAAGCTTTGCATTTGCTTTTGATTTTAAGTGGAATGCACTCGGACATTATAAAGAGATCTGTGAGTGGACCTTAAATCTGCCTTTATGTTGGACAGAAACTGAACAAAATATATATTTAAAATAGACTGATACACCACTTTTCAGTATACACCTGTATGGAAAATGTGCATGACAGATGATTTAGACGGTTCTTTACGCTACTAGGTTTTGTCAGGCTTATTGATTACAAAAGCTATGTAACAGCTCATTTTTTTTCCCCAAGCCTAACTTACATAGAGCATAGGTTCAGCAAGCATGTACATTAATGGCTGTTAACTTTTCCAGTTATTCATGTAGATTATATTCAATAGTTTTTTGCCAGATCAACCTCAGTGTACTGGGAAAAATAATAAATAAATGAATAAATAATAAAATCCAAGGCAGGGTTTCAGTTGTAACAGTACAGCATATGAGTAACAAACATAGCAGTACATACGGTCCATGTATTGGAAGGTTTTGCTTCCTTCCTCCCCACTGCCCACCTCCCCCCATGCCCCACCCCGCTTTCCTGCAAACAGAGAAAAACGTGTTGAGGATTGGGTTAACTCTGTACTTTTGAAAAGTTAGCGTGTAAAAAGTTTTTGAGAATACCAAGCAGCCGTAGAGTTTTCTGGCTTGCATTGTTACATTTCCCATATTGAGGATGAATTCTACAAGACCCTTACAGTTGTGGCTTTTTGTATAAAGTTGCATGGCAGAACTAGCTTGTATCTGTAAGAATAAATATTGGGCAAATGATAAATGTTGAGTAAAGATGTGGTGAAGAGCAAATTGTTACGAAACTTGAAATACACAGTAGCCTTCCTTTAAATTGCTGTGTGGAACATTAAACTGACTTGCTATTTATGGAGTTTTTCACATGGTCAGCAACTGCTTGATTTGTCTTTAAGGCATTTTCACTCAAAACTGTCATCAAACTTTTATATTGTTCTTACAGACCCCTGTAAAACTCCACTGACCTCAGTATTACTGGGATTTGGCCCTTAAAAAAAAAAAAAAAAATCAGTTTTCCTTAATCCTAAGATATAAACCTTTTATTTTGTTTCATGATTTGTTCATCAAGTGCGTCATTCTGTGCATCATTCTGATATAATGGACTGTACTCCCCTGGACACTACATTATTGAGATAAATGACAGTAGATTCAAAGGTGAGTCGTGACAGTAGTGCAGTATGTCTGATGCACTGGCAGTAAAACACTTAAAACATGCTGGGAAATCTGAGATATCATGTGGATGAAGTGCACTTAAATATTAATTTTATGTTGATCACAAACAACGTGCCCAAGTGAAACAATTGCTAGTTACAAAAAGAGGGGCAGAGGGGGTGAACTTTTACTCTTACTTCAGTCCCCACATATGTTTTGTTTGGGTCTTTGCAAAGAGTCAACAACATAAAAAATTGTAGCTCTAATTAGGATTTTTGTTCTCTCTGTCTATATTTGTTAACGAGCAATAGTGTAAAATCGTGTGTAGAACTCCTGTGTATAAGCTATGTCCTTACTTTGTTGGTTGTTCATGAATTCAGATACGCCAGTTACTTAAAAATGTTGATTACAAAGGGTTGTTTCATCTAATTTGTGGGAAAAAGAAGACACCTCTGCCAAGACAACACTCCAGTTCTTCTAGCCATGCTCATCTTCTTCATCCCCAGTTACTGAAAAACATGAACTTATAGATATGACTGAAGTTAGTCTCAGAAGTTTCTTTTTTACTTCTCTGAGTAAAAGCAGTAGTTCTATCCTATTTTGAAGTTGGATAGCAGAAGCTTAGAAGAATGCCTAAGATCCTAGCCACATTCATTTGAGTGCTTACTACATCCAGTGTCTGTTATTGGCATGCTCAGGGAGATGCGCAAGGGGAAAAACATCTTCATCTTCAGATAAGAGCTGCTTCTTTAAGCTATTGCGTGTGTGTGCTGGTGAGAGATCACCTTCAGAGCAGTGGGTATCTGCTGTGTTTTTAGTATCTCGTGATGGCAGCCAGAAGCGTTTGGGAATTTTCTGACAAAAGTTTTCAGTATTATGACTGATGACCTGTGGAAACTGAAACTTGTGGTAGCACAGATGCTGCATTTAGTAAGAGTTCTCTGGTTCAGAATGGGATTTCTGGTGAAATCTGAAAAAGACAGAGATCATGAAGTTGTTTGTGCCAGCTGCTCTATTAAATTACGTACTTTGAGGCTATGGTCTTCTTGTTGCCATTTTAAGTATCCCCAGCATCAAACTGTTAGTTATGCTGGATGTACCTGCCCTGTTGAAGCTGGTCCACTGTTGCGTATGCGTATTTTAACACATAAGGGTTAGAATGTATACCTGACACTCATGTTCTGAAATACAAATGAATACCTTAATCTGTACAGCCATCTTAGCCAGTCTCTGGCTCAATCAATAATTTCACTATTTTTGTGAACTGGAATATGTCATGCAGGAGTCTGAGAGGAACAGGCCCTAATACAGCCAGCAGAGCTGCAATTAGTGTGTTTAACTGGGATATCAGAGTTTGAGATATCAGTGTAAATCAGATGTAGAAGTTTGGATCCATACTTACTTCATACTAGTTGATGTGCTTGTTGATAGGACTATTGGTTCTTCAGGGGCAGAAGGAATAATGAGGCTGTATGTGTAGGATTTATTATTTTAAATACATCTTTTCTTCTTACGCTTTTCTTTCATCCTGAGTCTCCAGAAAAGCATCACCTATGTGTGAAATAAAAAACCATTTGCAAAATTGACTGTGGTAAGTAACTATCCACAGGACTAGTTATCGGGCAAGACCAAGAGGTCTTTTTGCTCAGCAATTTACGTGTTGGGATGAAAAGAGAGTTCAGAGCAGCCAAAGCATACTTAATCCTTTTTCTTTTGTCTTCTCTCTAGCACTGGATGTATTTTGGGAGTTGGACTTGTTCTTTCACTTATGAGTCACAGTAGCCAAACAGAATCACGAGTGCATGTTGCTGCTTCATTGCGAAAACTCTGCAAATACCTGGACAGCAGTGAGGACCAAAGCAGATGCGTCCAGGAGGTATGACCTATTCTATCACAAATTTTAAATCTTCCTTTTACTTTGTTGCCTGTCTTTAATAACAATAGACTTTTTACTGAAGCTTTACATCTTTAGTACTAGAATGCTTGGATTCTATTATTTCTTTCACAATACATGGTCTTATACCTGCTGAAGAAAACAACAACAATAGAATAACCTGTAATGCTGTACAAACATTAAAAAACCGCCTGAAAATATCCAAGAATCATAGAATGGTTTAGCTAACACATAATTCTTTAAAGTGCTTCTTTAATTCCTTAACCTCTAATTAAATTGTTGAAAGTCTGGAGTAACTGTGGATATATATGGATGTCTCAGACACAGTTGTTAACTGCTCATCTGATCTACTAGAAAGCAGACAGCAAGTTGCTCTCAGAGAACCTTAATGCTACTACTTCCTCCTTCAATATGCCTTCTGTTTCCTTCTTTGAAAGCTGCTGTCACTAGCTAATGTAAATCTTTCACTTGTGAATGCTGATATGGCCCCATTTGATATTCTCTTTATGACTGTGTTTTGAACACTTAAACTGAGCTCTTCTGAGTTTGAGCATGCATTTCAATTTATTTTGCCAAGATACGTCCAGTAAGTTTTGACGTGGTCCATGCCCTAATTCTATAAGTTTGTTGAGATGAAACCTGAGAAGGAAAACTGATTAAATTGGAGGAGTTTACGACAGAAAACGAGAATCGGAATAAGCTGGTGTTTTGCACAAAAACAGCAATGCTGTACCTGATATATGTAAGCCTGCAGCAGCTGAACAGCTGAGTTGCATAATCCTCTGTTTCTTCTAAGTGAGTAGCAGAGCTTTGGTAGTATTATTCTCTTCCCCCTATTGGTGCTGCTCTGAGAGGCCTTTAATAAAGGTCTTTGTTTATGGAGTTTAATTTTTTTGGCAGTACGTATGTGTTGGGGATTAGCCTTTGCAGTTTATGGTTCATGCATTAGAGTGACTTCGGCTATGGAAACGTTTATCTCTCCCCAGAGATCTCAAAGTGCTTTACTGTACTTAAACTGGATTCAATACAGCAACTACTGAGATGAAAGGCAGCAGCTGTTTAACATCGTGGTTTAGGATGAGAAGCAAAACCTACCCTTTTCAATTAAAATCTCTGTAAGGAATTGTACAAATTATTACATGGGTAAAATTTGGCCGGCACCCTAGGATGAATACTACCGTATTTATAGGATGCACAAGAGGCTCTTTCAGAGGTATAAATGGCTGGGATATAATCCTGTACTTGAGAGGTAATTTTGGTCTGCTGCAGCAAGAGGTACAATCTGAGCATTACTTGCTCCAAGTCAAATTGTTGCTAATCCTTCACAGTAGGTGGATGCTCTCTCCTTCCCTTATAGTCATGCGTTGTTCTGTTGCTTAGGTTTGGTACAGAGAAGGTTAAATAGTTGGCACAGTTGCCTTGTTGAAAGTTCAGACTTCATTTCATTATTCTCCACCTCTAAGGCTGAAGAACAGAAAAGGATTGTCACTTGTGAATCCTTCTGCAAGGACATGAGGGTAGTGTCATGCACTGTCTGTGGGAGGGAGTTCTACATGCTTCTCTTCTGACCTGCTTGTAGCCCTGATGGGATCACAGCATGCTGTCTATGCTCACATAAATAATTATCAGATACTTGTGTTGAGAAGAGTAACTAGATGTGTGTGGAAGATCAGGACTTTGACCTACATAAAACCAGAAGCACTTCCAAGCATTAGTTGTATTTGTTTAATGATCGCATCAATGAAGAATCTTTCAGAGAAGGAATAAACATCTGAAAGTACAAATAGATGTTTTTGTGATGCTGGCACATTGGTTCGTGTGCACATTGCTATAGTGAATTTGATCAGACACTGGTTAACAGAATTAAATAATATTTTTTTTTCAGGTACTTGCCTATTCTGTGGCCTGTTCCTGTGTCTCTGCTTTCAGTGTTGGAATCATAGAAGCAGCTGAGGCTGAGGATGCCATGAACAAGCTACGGACCTTATTGGAAAATAATCAGCAGGTCATAATGCGCTGTTTGGGCTTTCGTTCAGTTCTGTTTTTCTCTTATCTATTTAATGTTGGATACTGCTTTACCCAGACTGTAACTTCAAGAAAATTAGATTGATCTGCTTTTAGTATTAACTAACATTGAGCGTGTTGTGCATACTGTGCGATTACCAAGACTACCACTTGATCCATTGATTCATTGTCTGCAGGTGTATAGCAATTAGCAGACAGTGAAATAAAAACAGATTTTCTATGTTTGATTGCATTTAGAAGGGAAATTGGTACTTTTGAGTTCTTCGTGTTTTTAGTCCCTGCATCCTGCCAATTTTTGTCTCTTTTATAACATGTTTCTTTAGACTATTGGTAGGAAAATACTTCTACTGTGCTCTTCTAAATTTTTGCTTTCCCTTAGCCACCAGACAGCGCATCATAACCACAGCCACTGCTTCCTCCAAGTGTCTGTTTCATCCCTAGTACTCTAGGCTTGCCCTCTAAAAATGCCAAAAATAATCTCTGTATTTCAGTGTGTGTGTTTTTTTGTTAATTGCTTGCCAGAAGAAAAGGGGGAAAAAAAATTTGAATCAAAACCTGCTATGACTCCAATCAACGGTTTCGAATGTTTATCTGGAAAATAGGAAGTCAAAACAAACTGCCTTTGCTACAGGTTTTTACCTTCATATCACAAAATCTGCTCTAAAATAAAGGCTTCAGAGGAATCTGCGTGCCAAAGATCAGTATTTAATATCAGAAAATCCTGTGTCACTTGACATGAGAAGATACTTGAAATAAGAAAGTATCCAGTATTTTAGACAAAGACATTTCTTCTAATTATTGGGAAATAATAAATATTTAAGTAATATTTCAATAACAAATATTAAAAAGAACACAGAATCCTTCAGAAGATCTGGTTTTTAATGTGTCTTTTTCACCTTACAGACCCACAGTTTTGCTTTAGCTCTGGGTGCAATAGTACATGGCTTGTCAGCTTGTGGTCATGGAAAAGCCGAAGACCTGAGTAACAGACTAATGCAAGCCTGGGTAAAAATTGTGCTTGCAGAGGTAAAGGAGTTTGAATTCATATCCTGGGTTGTTTGTTTGGTTTTCTTTTTGCAAGTGGGGAGTGTGATTTTAAATGAACAGCAGTGACATAATTTTGCTTGCTTCTGCAGGAGCGATGCTAGGAAAAGTTAGGATTATCTAAACATGCTGTTTGATTGATATTTGGAAGCAAAAATATATCTTTTGGCTGTTTGCTAAAGGAAAAAGAAAGTTTCTCTTCTGCTTGGGTGATTTATGGGAAAGGTTTGTCTCAATGAGATCTTAATTTGGACATCTTTACTAATTTGGAACAATATCCAAGGATAAAATCTGGGTTATTAGATGAACATGCATGGTGAAATTAGGTGCTACTTATCAAAATTACACTAACAGAATCCTGATTATAGTGCCTCAGTTGTTGTAATAATTTTGATATATCCCATTGTAACAAAAATTTTGTGTTTGAAATCAAACTCTAAACTTACATATTAATATTGCAGTTGAAGGTACATGTCAGTAAAGAAACAATGTTTCAGTGTTGAATTGTAATGGCATATTTTGTGGAACACAGACTGTGCTAGAAGAAGGTGATTTGTCAGGGAGAAATGTATGATGGTTTCAGATGGGCACAGGGGGGAAGCTCCATATAAAGCCTTTCATTCAGCAAGAGGGGGATGAATACGTATACAGTGTGTTGGAGTCTGACATATAAAGGTTTTGAGGATAAGAGGTGTACAAGTGATAGAAGTCATGGGTTTTAAGTTGGAAGAAACAAGTATTTTGTCCTACAGTAGCATTGACTCACTGATCCTGAATTATGCTTCCAGGGTTCTCCAACAATGCAGCGTCTGGCTGCTGTCAATGGGCTGGTTGCACTGGTGGGCTCTGAAGGAGGCATGATACAGGTGAGAAGATGCAAGCAAATGGTACTTTTATCTCTTCTAGAAGTTTTGCTAGAAGGCAAGATGGAATGACATCCTCTGCATCCTTACAGCAGTGATTATGCAGAAATGGGATGCCCTGGTATATATTGGGTATGAACCAAGCAGGATATAATTACAATGTCTAAAATAGGGTCTGTTGTATTTTCCTGTCATATGGCCCATGTGCAGTGCCACTGGGGAAAAGTTCACAGCCACATAGGCATTCTCCCTTTCTCCTTTACTCCTCCACAAAAAGGCACGTGTGCAACTGTAATGTCTTTTCAGTACCTGTTCTCTGTTTTGTTGTTTCTTTTTTTCGCCTATAAAATTCACAATATTTTTTTCCTTTTTCTCTGGCAGCTGAAATCTGAGAGCATTCAGTCCTCCCAGTTTCAAAGTAAGCTGAATGAAGTCATCAGAACCCTTACACAGGTAAGAAGGTAGCCTTTGTTTTCTGCTTTGAGTAATGCACTAGGGTACTGGCACACCTTGCACAAACAGGCCAAATCTGTTTAAAGAAACTGCTAATGTCTGTGTTTCTTGAATGAGGCAACGTAGAGAAATTTGACTAACCTAGTGTTTTATTGTCTCAACAGATAATCAGTTTTTCAGGGCAGATTGGCCTTCAGACAAATGCAGCAGGGCTTTTGGGACACCTTCATATGTCCTGTTTGTCTTCTACCCAGAATAGGGCATCCGGTAAGTTGCTTTATTATTGCTGCTTAAAGAAAATATAGAAGTAGCACCAAGCTAAAAAGGCACCAAGGGACACATTAGACAATACAGGCTAGACATTGCAGCCCTATTAAATGACATGACAGCCTTTGAATTGGAGACCCCGTGGTCCTGTGTGCCAGACCTAAAGGTTGGAATATGAAGCAGGAATCCATGTGCTGAATAGGCTCCCTCCATCTGCTTTTACTTGCAGTATCAAAGCAAGGTTCTAAGTTGTTCTGGTCAAACTTATATATTGCTTCTCTCTTTATTCTTGTATAGAATAAATTGTAAATAAGTTTTACACTGCATATGGCATGTGTTTGACATCTACGTTACCCACTCTATGCCCTGAGAATTGACTAGTCTACTCTTTGTTTTAGCACTTCCTGCTGTATAAAAAACCCCAACACTTACAAACTGGTCATTAACAAGAGGAAAATGACTTTTCAAAAGCATTTTTCGAGAAGAGATCTTCGTTGATTAGCTGAAGTCAAAAACTAGTATTCTAGCAATTAGCACAGAAATTCATATGCTGTTGATACATTGTTACCTTTTGCTGTTGTTTCAGTATCTGTTGGTAAAATAAAGGCAGGATTACACCATGGATGCAATACCAGTAATAGGAGGGAACTAGTGAAGTGGAAGCTGTTCACTTCACTGTGAACCAAGTTGGGAGCCAATAATATGAAGCGTAGATAAACTTCCTCATCACAGAAAAAAGATTCTTGGACTTTCTAATATTGTATAATCTTGGCACATGTGCCTGAGGTTAAATAGATGTGAAATGTCTCTGTTGTATTAAACTTACTAAGCTTTTGAAGCTCTCCCTTTTGAAGCCCGACTTGCAGTGGCTGATACGTTTTAAGGAAGTTATTGCTAGCTTTTCACTTGTTCAATTAATTTGTTGTTTTCAGACCTGGCACCTCTCACCAACACAAATTTATAGCTTGCCTTAAAAGTGAAAAGGCCAATGCATCTGTCCGTAATATTGTGGTCTAAATATTTTTAGTAACCTACAGAATTATTTAGTTCAAATATAGCTCAGGTTGGCTTTTGAATTTACATGGGAGCTGAAAGATAGAATTTCTGCTAACATGTTTTGGTACATAAGCAGTCTTTTTGTCTTCACAGTCCCACCAGATTTTAGCTACTTGCCTGAAAACAGCTTTATCAGGGCAGCCATTGACTTTGCTATTGAAAGTGGAAAGAAAGGTAAGAAGGGATCAAACTACAGTATCCCTTTGGGAAATTGGTTATGACTATAAAAGGTGATTCTAATAGCCCACTTTTATTTGCTTGGACGACTTCTCTAAATACTAATTTGAAATTCACTAATGTGGGATATTTAATCTCTAAACAAAAAATTGAATAACACTCAAAAAGATAAGGTAGAATTGTGTAGTTAGTGCTTTAGTTTTCTCCAGTGAATTTTTATGACTTTTTAAACCCTCCCCTTTCTCCTTCCCTCTGTGTCTGTGAGATGATATATCTTCCCTGGAGGAATGAAAGTCAAATCACTTTAAATGTTAGCGTGTATCCTCAGGAATACTCTATCACCAGGCAAACTTTATGCTGCGCCTTATTTCAGTGATCCTAGGTTAGGATTCTCTGTAACAGAGTGTTACTCAAATGGGTCACTGCTGTGTGTGATAAATGCAAAGATCCTGAAGAAAGTATGCTCTTACATGAGAGTGCTAGTGAAAGAGAGAGATCTTGGAGTACAGTCTTAAGGGAGGTAAAGCAGAGGAGATTATTCCTGTGTGGAGCGAAGTGGGCTCACTGCTGTCCTGTGAAGCAGGCTTTGCTTTCAAATGGAGGTAAAAATTGCCTGTGCCTTGCCTCCAGGAGGACTTTCACCAAGTTAACTCCCTGTGTTTAAGTAATGTAGTATGTAGCAAAGGTTAGCACCTCTCTGACAGTTTTTGTGGCCTGCACCTATGGGATGTGGAAGGAAAACAATATCAGAAAACTTGGCTGTTCTCTTACTGACAAATGCAAAAATACTACCCTACTAGATGAGAAATATCTGTAATTAACTCCTAAATTGGTTCAAGCGGGAGGAAGCAGAAATTTTCTACGTATCAGTAACAAAAAGCCTTTTTTGATAGGACATTAATGTTAAAAACACAACTGTTAATTACAAACAAGAGAGAGCTAATTCTCAGATACAGAAAGAAGTAACAGTAATTTTGCAATGCTTTTTAGCATTTCAGTACAGATTGGTCTTCAGTGGAGTGTTCTCATTTTTTTCCTGAACTCTTCAGCCAAGTGTGTGTGTATAAAATTCAGACTGTGATTGAATCTTCTGTTGTAGGCCCTGAATCTGTCCCAACTGAGCTGGTGAAAGTAGCACTGGCTCCTATTGCATTAGTTGGAGAAAGCCATCAGTATCCACCTGTAAACTGGGCATCCGTTCTTTCTCCTCTGATGAGGCTAAACTTTGGTAAGATTAATAGTTTTCTATTAAGTTTTTTGTACTTGTCACAAGACTTCCTTACTGACACAGCTTTCAAAAATTTTAGAGCCCACTTCAGGGCTTGATGTTATTGCAGGGAATGAAGTGTTTAGTATGCTTTTAAGACTAACTTTGTAATGTTTGCAAGCATATATTTGCAATCACCTTGTGGACACAGTTTGTTTTAACTCAAGAAAAGGCTAGAGAAGACCAGAGCTGAGAAGTTTGGAAGTTCCCTAAAACGCTGGTGAAATTGGACTAAATTTTTCATTTGAACTATTTACAGTAAAAAGAGTCCATCATGAAACTCAACTAATTGTGTCTTATTTTCAGTACCCACTAAATGCTGGTCCAGTGCCTGTGTCAGAGGCTGCAGGAAACTTTATCACATTTTGAACTGCTCTGTAGTTCATTTAGCTATCACTAGTCTGAAATATACTCACTACTAAATTACACTAGGGGACAGAGGAAAGCATATCTTTTTTTTTATCATGATTCTGATTTTTCAGCGCTTCTAACAGCATTTTTTTTTCCTTCATGATCGAGAGTAGCTTTGATCCTGAAGCATTGTGTTGGACATCTTGTATTACATTTTTCTACTCAGAGCATCTCTTGATGCTTGTTTTGGTTGATATAAGCATCTGAGTTTCAAACTCATTTCCTTAAAAAAAAACCCCAACAAACTACTGTGCGAAGTTCCTTATTCCCTTGTTTGATTCCACTGAGTTTTGTTTCTTCTGATTTATTTAACTGTTATTAGCAGCCTTGCAGATTCTTTTACAACTGGGTTGGGCAAGTGCTGTTGTGTATAAATTCATGTGCTGTAGAGCCCAGAATATGGAAGGCTGTTCTTATTTCTTTCTGGTGTTTATTTTACTTCTACTGAGTGCTTGTATAAGCAGTAGAAATCATTGAACTGTCATATGAGACACATACAGAAAGATTTGGCTATATAATAAAATTTTTGCTTATACTTGAGCTGCAACTTCTGTTTTACTTGGTTTTCTTGCAATTGATTGTAAAGTCTTTTGTAAAAGTAAATGAAAGAATTTCCTATACTGACCTCTGCAGTCCATGCTGATGCAAATTTGTGTGCAACCTTATGAATAGCTGAAACTTGTTAAATGTATGGGGGAATTTTTTATTCCTGTTTTTCGCTTAGGAGTCTTACTTTTGTAAATCAGGGGAATTCCAGAGGAAACAGTACATTGGTTTTGTGGCTGTGTTTTTATTGACTCTAGACAGAATCATAGTCTACATTTTTATACATAATTTCTCTTGACCATCCCTCTGTAGTCTTGTGGAAGTTGCACTCCCTTCTCCAGATTATATATACATGCAGAAATAGGTCTTGCTGTGTGCTAGTGAGCAATATTCATGTTGTTCTAGAAACTGCAGAACAGTTGTATTACGATCTAACAGTTCACCTAGAAATGTGGCACTAACTCACTTTTTCTGGAACAGCTATATCATTAATATTTTTATGAAAATTGGACTATATGCTCAGTTCGCTCAGATTCTCTAGGTCATTGTTACTCATGTCTGAGAATTCATGACTGTCTTTATGAACCTTACACGTTTCACAAATTCTACTGTGAAGATTTGTTCATCTTTAAACATACTGAAGACAGCAGATTGCTTTCCCATCTTACAAGATTTATTGCAGTTGTTGCTGAGCAGAAACCATGTAACATGATTGAAGTAGTACCTGTTTGTTATTCAATAGCGCTCTGAAGCGAACAGTCATAGGCAAATCATAATGTGTGTCTTAGCAGTCCAAGCTAGTGAGAGAGAATTTTTGAATTGGTTACCAAAGTATCTTGTTACAATTTCACCCTCTCTGAGTTCTGGAAATGACTTAACTTCTCATATAAGATATTTTATTTTGAAGAGCCTGATACTGGACTCTTAAATCTTTGTTTTGTTTGTGCCCTGTTAGTGAACTTTAAGTCATGCTATATAGACTGCCACTTTTGTTACTGAAAGAACATTTTAGCTTGCAAAGCAGCTATTTAAGTTTGATTCTGACATTTAACAGTAATGTATCTTCTATCTAATGGGTCAAATGCCAGTAAATACTTAAGTTGTTTGTCCTTATGTTGCTGTAGCAATCATGAACTGGATGGAAGTCATGCCATTGCTCAAAGTACCTCTTCAACATATTTATGACTAGTTATTCTATTAAGAAACAGGCTGTACCAGTCATTTAAGGGACTTTGAAGAGAAACCAATAAGGATTCCATAACCAATGTAACCTCTATTCACAGTAAGGTATTATTCCCACATGCTAACCTGGACAATGTTGCAACCAAGCACCCACAGCAGTAACAGTGACTAACCTCTGTTCTGTGACATATTATACGAACATGGGGTATGTGGAAGAGTAGAAACATGTGAACAAATGCTAATTAGTCCTATGTTTAGCAGAAAGGAATATTGACTCATTTCTCCATTAGATTAAATCTTCTCTTTGTTTAGCAAGGATTTTTTTAATTCTTACTTTTTTTACCATTCCCACATTTTTATTCTTGAGTGGATTGAAATGAACTTGGACAAATTGTGAGATTTCTTGCTGAAAGTGAATGAAAGGGAAGAGGGGACTTCTAACATGTATGTGTTAAAAGCTTTAAGCAGCATGTCTAGAAAAACAAATTTTAATGTTGTGCTCTAGTAGAACAATAATCCTCCTTTATTTTATGAGTTGCCAACAAATTTAAAGTAAAAATAATTTCTGCATAACTTCTGTTTGTTTTCTTTTGCTTTAGGTGATGAGGTAAAACATCTGTGCCTTCAACTGGCTGTGACACAGGCCCAGTCATCTCAAAATGCAGCAATGCTTTTGGGGATGTGGGTGGCACCTCCCCTTGTCTACAGTCTCAGTGTATGTATGTCAGAAAATCTGTGGGATCTCAGCACCTCTTTCCTATAAGATTCCTCAGTGGTGGTGTTTAGGATGTCTCACCAGAAAAGGATTACTAGGTTCAGAATTCTGCAGAAATACTGTTTAGCAAATATTTATAGTGAGAGAAAGACTATTCTGGGACCTTGAAATTGAAGGCAAACTTAAGAACTGCTACATTGGTTTTACTTAAATTGTGTAAGACCTTTTTCCTCTCTCTCATTTCATGTTATAGCATGACCTAGAGATGTAAGAAGGCATGGCAAGTGGGGAAAAAGAGTATCTCTTATTAGACCAGCCAGTAGTCTTAGAAAAAGTCACACCTATCTGTCCAAAACTTGCCTGCTTCTTCCAGCAATGTCTCTTGATCTAGTAAAACATGTTGCTTCTTGAAAGCCTTGCCTTAATTGTGTAGGTAGTCAACAGACTAGCCTATAGTGTAATCAAATTCGGGCTAATCCTCCACTATAGTGTGTTTCTTCTTGCAGAGGTAGAATGTGGATTCCATGACACAGTGTGTAAAAAAAATCCCTGAATCTCACAGTGTGCTTGAATGTGCAGTTCTGTCAGTTTATACAAGTTGGGGAGCAGGTTCGTGACTACTGACAGAAAATCCATTGCGGATTTCTGTGATCTTTTCCCATTCTTCAAGGGCTATTTTTGTCTTGTAATTTTTAATTCATTAGTCTTCAGAGATATATAAACACTTGGAAATTTTAGGATACATAATTGGTAAAGTACTAAAAAAAAAAAAAAAGATTTTATTTCTGAGCACCAGTTTCTCACTGCAGTGGAGACTTGAGGTCGCAAAATGAGTTCAGCCACAGAGTGTGTAAGCTTTGGGTTCCTTCAAGGTAATTATTCATTCTTACTCAGTAGCTAGCAATATTAATGGTGGTAGGAGTACTGTGCTTCTGTCCCTGGCTGTCTAATCAGTCTGTATGCTTTATGTAGGAATGCAGTGGGCACCATGTAGAGAAATCGCAGTTGTCTTGTCGGTACAGAGACGTGATATCTTGGGTTCATTAGAAGAAACTTCCTGAATTTTTAAGGAAAATAGAATATTGGCATGTTTGAACTCTTTAATTCAAGCAATTCATCAAAAAAGGAAGAAGAATTGAGAAGTATTTATGACTTCGAGCGCTTTTTTGAGTGGTGGTTGAGCCACTTTTTTTTTCATCCTTTATAAAAATAGTTGAAGGTCAGCAAAGAGCTGGAATCTGAAACTAAGCGAAAGCTTTTGCTTTTCAGATGAAAACCCAGAAATACCTTTTCGTGTCCCTGCCCCTGTGGATGAAACATGTTGCAGAAGACAAACTACAGTCTTTTACAGAAGTGTTTCTGATACAACAGTTTGAAGTGAAGAACCGCAAAAAAAAACCAGAAATCTGCCAGTGCGTTTTACAGGGGCTCACACAGGCAATGAAACTTCCAAGCCCTGCTCAGTACTGCTGGAGTGTTCTGTGCCAGGCTGTGGAGAAAATATTTGAGCTTCTACCAAATGAAGTTCAGGTAAGGAGTAAGTGTGAGGTGTATGAACGCTTTTCTGGACTGGATGTTTTTAATGATGGTAAGTCCCATCTTGTTGCATTGATCCATCAGGTTTGAAACATGAAGTAGATGGAAGATTCTTAGTGATAATAATTAAGATGCCTGCATAATTTCAATTTAAGGTATTTTTGGATATTCTTTAGAATATGAGGAAGTTGTGAAACCAATTGAATGTGAACTTTTCCCTTACAAATGATTCGGTAATGGAAAAATACAGCATTAGTACTGAAATAAATGTTATTGAAACAGAAGCAGAGAATAATCAGAAGGGGCTTTTTTTTCCCCCACAGAGGATTCAACTTTTCACAGTGGTTTAAAGAAGCTAGCTAGCTACAGCAAATAGCTCCAAGGAAGGGCATTTTTCCATTAAAACAGACAAACAAATTCTCTGAAAGATTTCAGATAGTATTATTCCTTAATAACTAAGTACATTGAAGTCTCCAGCAAATACAGAATTTCTAAAATAGAATAAATAAAACAAGGCTAGATACTAGATTAAATATACATTACGATCTAAATATTCATCAAGATCATTAACAAAGTTCCTGGATTCACTAATTTTAGTGATGAAGAAATGTAGAAGGATACATCTAAACATGCATTTACTTTTCTGTTTCCAGAGAGGCGAACTGGACATGTATGTTGATGTAGCAAAATGTATCTCAGAAATGGCAGATTCAGAGATTGATCGCATTGTCCAGATCTCTAAGGTAATGATGTTTTCCTCCTGGTCTTTCATCACCAAATCATGTGAAACAAGCATGCCTTACTTGTCACCAGAGTGTTTTAGCTCATTGGGACCATTGATTGTTTTATCTGCCATGCAAGTAAGAGTGTTCTGGCTCTAATTTGCAGGCCGCGGAGACAAGCAAATGTAATACGAACCCATATCCAAAACTTTCTCAAGGCAACTGAAATACTACTCATTTTTCCTGGTAGCATTGAACTGAAGAGACTAAGTAACTTCGTCAAGTTCAGGCAGGACTCTGTTAGCAGAACAGGAAAGGTGTTAGATCTTCTGAATCCCAGGCCAGTGATGCAAACAGCAAACCATAGTCCTCTTTGCTTAACATAACTAACTACTTGAAATGGACTGCAAATGCATCCTGGTGACTAGCTGTGCTTGAACCGGTGGATCCTTGCTTCTGTTAAAAATATGAAATACTTTGACTGAACAACCTTTCATTCTTGGCTTAATGTGCTATATTTGTATTCACACTCAACAGTGTTTTCTGGTGGGCAAGATGGCTAAGGATGACAATGGAATAGAAAAGCTTTCAGCTTCTAGCTCACCAGTGGAATTCTTAGCAGCCGAAACGCGAAGAAAATGACCTGTGTGGAAGGACTGGATGGTTTCAGATCAGATAAACTAACATCCGCAACATAAAACGATGTTGTTCTGTTTACTAGCAGATTCACTAGAGAATCAAGCATTTAAATAGGTTAGGGAAGCTGAACTGTCATTTCCTTATGTCTTTGAGTTCTTATTTCCACACTGAAAAATGGCATTTAAGAAAACCTTTTTTGTCACTTCAGTGAATTTGTCTTGCAAGACGACTTGAGTCTCCAGAACTGTCAGGCTGGCTCATTTCAATTTAAAGGGGAATGTAAAATTTAAAGCAGTATGAAAACAGTGAAACTGTACTGATTTGCTGGACTGTTTGGAAGCATGTAAAATTAAATTAATATGTACAGTCTTCTGTTTCGTAATTTGTCTTGAAGAAAAATGAGCCTGCTAGGTAATCAAAGAATTTCTCCCCTTTTTTTATAAAGAGGGATGCAGCATCTACTGTTCCCACGAGAAAGGTGTGTTTTAATTTAACATGTTTCTAATTGCATTTGCAGAACAATATAGAGAAGGCCACATTCGTGAAAGTGTATTTAATTTCTCAAGGCAGACTGCCTCTTATGAACTTGAGTGCCGTGATTGATACTGTGACAGAATATCACCAGAAAGAAAATATTTTATGGATGCTTTTGAATGGTTTCTATCACGCTCGTATTGTGAGCCATGAAAACACAGGTAAGGTCAGGCTTAAGGAAGGATCAATGACAAAATCAACAGGTACCGGTGGATCTACACTGATTCTTTTAAAGTAATTTTAAGATGGTTTAACCCAAGTGTTTCCGTATTTTTCTGTATTAGAAACTACTCAGTCTTCAGAATTTTTCTGCTCTTCAAATACTTATATCAAACATTGCTTTTATGGTTTTCTCCAATTCTTTATGTTTCTGTGGATCAGCTACAAGTCATTGATCTCAGCCAGATGGTTTGCAGATCAGAGTTTTCACTAGATCCATGTCTCTTAGTCTTTTTAGACTTTCAGAGTAACATAGTGTTAGAAATGTACATAGCACGTCAGAGACCAGTAGTAGTGCAGCTCTGCTAACCTTCAGATCTAATACCTGACTTCCTGTTGTGCAACACAGTAGGTAGGGCTGTCTTCCCGTGAGACTGGTTGAACCAAGGGGATAGCTGGCTTCTCTGAACTCCCCATACTGAGTTAACATAGAAAACAAATTGCCTTTCCGCCTCTTCATAAGCATACCAGATAGTTACGTGGTGGGTTAATGAGTTGGGCTGTCTCAGCTAAGGGTCTGATGAAGTGCTGCAGCTGATGCAAGAGAAGTAGCAGAATCGCACAGGAAGATAAAGAAGAAACAAGAACAGAGGGAGGCAAGAATGAGGTCTCCTGATTTTCATGGCAGAAGGATCTTCGGCTACCTGTGTTCACAGAACAACTTCAGAGCATTATAGTGCTAGATGCCTCAGCTGCCAGCTGTGGTTGAAGAGCTTCAAACAGTGGGGAGTTTTGAATGAGTGAGGCAAGATAAAAGAGGCCATATGTAAGGAGTACAAGAGAAAGGTAGTGTATGAAGTGACATCATCTCAATGATGAAGATGGTTTTTAGTTTGTAGGAGGTAGAATGGATTTTGGATAGCAGAGTCTGAATCAGTGAAATATGTTCCATCCTTGGGTTGAGGGCTGATTTTATTTGCATGCCTTGAGTGTATTTTATTGATCCTCTCTGCACTGCAGGAGGATTTACACAGCACTCCCCACATTCTTGCCCAGTGTACAGTGACATCAGTGCTAGATTTAGATAAAGTACTGGGGCAAAAACTTCAGGGAGGCTTTAGGATTCTGTAGCAGTCATACATGCAGACTGGGTTACTGGGACCTGCAAGCGGCCATTATGTGAAATAACTCTCACTCAGAATTCCTTTTTCTGTGTGTTCAGTGTATTGCCTGCATTATAAGCAAAGTTTTTGTACTGTTTAGGTGCCTGTATGCTTTCTGTCAGTGGCAACCGTGAATCAAATGTGACAATGGTATTGGTGATCTTTTTCGTCCACAGTCAGTGCTTTATTGCTGTAGTGATTCCCTATGCTTGCTTTTTAATGAAAAATGGTGAATTGTAGTGTTTTATGTGAGTCAATGTTCTTGTTCTTCTTCTAGGAGTGCTGAAAAGAATGAACTGGCTGCTAGACCTGATGGGCTATATCAGAAATTTAGCATACAAGTCAACACCCTTACAAAATGTCGATGTTAAAGAGGTACATGCTGTGAAAATAATTTGCAGCTTTCATAAAGAAGGAGGTTTTGATGTATTCCACATTATTCCTCAGTAACAAGTATTACTCCCCATGCTTTTATATTTTAGAAGATTGTCATCTTACCTCCATAGAGAAATTCTTCTCAATTTTTCTAAATGTATGTGTATTTAAAACTCTTACTTTAAAATAGCGATGACATTTAAATTATGATAGAAGCTAAAGGCAACTAAAAGAAATCATCACTTCAAATTTACTATATTTACAGCACTTAAAGGAAAAAATTTGAATTCGCCAATAGAACTGTCTAAGCAGGTCAAAACTGTTTAGCTGCTGTTTCTAAGAGGGCTTTGACAGTTTTAGGGAACTAACATTGTTCCATCTTTTCAGCTGTTTAAGTCTTCTGGTTGAGGACACAAAATAAGATGCGACTTAGATCAGAAGGGCATTCATTACATTGCTGCATTATTTGCCAATCATTCGTAACACCACGATGGTGACCCCCTCTAATTTCCTTCAACAGTCAGATTGCTGTAAAGAAGTTATTTCCCCATTTTAAGTGAAATGCAGATCAGCCTTAAACTAGAGGATGATTTTAGAAGAGTACTGTTCTGCTTTTTTTTTCCAATTTCCAATTTTTTTTCCAATTTCCAATTTGAGTTGGTGTTTAGAAAAAGACATGCTTCTTCGAAGCATGAGAGAATATTAAGAAAATTTTGGTTCTTGCATTTTGAATGTTAGCTGAATTTTCAGATGATTGTTTTGAAGAGCAGGCTACCACCTGGATTTTTGGTTGGTTTGGTTTTTTTTTTCAATTGGGTTTGTTTGTTTTTTCTTTCTGTGTTATTCATTTAATAAAGTGCCTTTTTGCCTTTTTCCTGTTTAGTGCATAGATTTTCTCCTGTGGCTGTTTGCAGCTTCTGTGGTGGCCTGGGCTGACCATGGTGCACCATTACTACTTGGTCTCAGTGCTAACTGGTCACCGTGGAAGCACCAAATGATACTACCAGAATTATCTGGGGATCACATTGGCAAGCACCCCACTGACAAACTTGCTGTGCAAGAAACTCTCACTCTCCTTCCAAGCAGCATTTCCCTTTTGCTGGCTAAAGAGCCTTGGAAAGAACAAACACAGAAGGTAAAATTGCATGTCGTGGTAAGCATTTTCCAATAGTCAGAAAGCACCTTGTTTTTAGCAGTCAGCTGAAGTCTTAGTTGGAGCAGTCATTTCCTCTATATCTATTGCATCTGATTTGTGATCTTGTTTTTCTTTATTTGCAATCAGATATGACTCGTTCTCAGAAGATTGAATGTAGTTTATCAAGTAAAATGTGAGAGTTGCAAAGAACAAAAAACATTTCAATGTTGGGAGTCAAACTCGTGAGAGTACAGCTAGGAGAGGAGAATTGGCAGCTGCTGGTAGCAAGTCAGTCTTTTAAACACTGAAAGACAGATCCTCTGCAGTTGGACATCACTGCAGTGGCAATCTAGGGCAATCAGAGATCTTCTTTGCTGTTTGTAGTGTATGTCATTTATTTACAAGTATAAGTTGAAAATAAGTGTGGAAAATTTTGCCTAATTTGGCAAGCCTACTGTAGGTTGCTTGTGGTTGAGACATGGAAATATTGTTATAAAGCTATAGATTAATAGTTAGCGGTTTGTGCAAACCAGAATCCATTAAGGACTGGCTCCCGTACGCTCCTGTGTTCAGAGTTACCACTGAAGTCAGAATTCACATTTTGGGAGGAAAGCAGCTGTGGACTGTTAATATACAGCTGCCTAATTAGGCTCTAGGGCAGAATTTGAGACTATGCCCTGAAAATCATTCTGATAAGTTTGAAATATCACATTGTCCTCCGAGCACCCTGGACGGCCAGAAAAACAATGAAAAATGAGAGAGTTCAAAAGAGGGACAAAGGCAGTAAGAGTTTTGAAGGATTTGCAGTAAAATGTTTGGACAAGAGACTAATAAGAAAGGATGGTATTAATAGGTTAAAGGCATGAGCAGGCAAGAGGGAGGGAAACTATTTACTGTACCTTCTTCATTACAAATAATTATTGCTGAGGTAATGAGAAGGAACAAAGAGAGTTTCAGATCTAGCTGTGGGAGAAATTGCACTGACAGTGAGATGTACTTTAGGGCATTTGGATAGTTTGGGCAGAAGCTTGATGGACCACTGCCTCTGCTTAAATAGCTATGAGTTTAGCAGCAATCAGATGTTGCCTATCAAACTGAAAAGAATTTATGGTGTTCTGATACAGAGGCTCTTTTAATTCAGGTTTTCCTTTATGTTTCAATCTTTAGTTCATTGACTGGCTGATCAATATGATGGAAAGTCCTAAGGAATCATTGTCGAAATCTTCCACAGACCTGCTGAAAGGTAGGATATTTTTTAATCGGGTCCTTGTTTTTCCATAACTATCAGTACAGATCAAAATCTAGTTGTTAAAAGGAGTGAGATGAATCTATACTATTAGCACATGTAGGAGAGCTATATTTTGTCTTTAAGGAAATCTTCACAGGTAAGTTAACATTCTGGTCTGTAACACCTTCTTGTACTTGCTGTCTTATCTGCTGAAGCTTACGATGTACCACTAGAGATTGAAAGGATCTAAAGGTACATCTGGTCCTACAAGCGTATTTCAGTGATAGATCTGTCAATTTTTTTTAAGTCACCCTTAAAAAGAAAATGCAACATACTATTTGGAAACCCTTCAATACTAGAATAGAAATCACATAACACTTTATTCAGGTGCAACTGAGGACTGAAGTGTGGGGAAGGGATAGGAGACAGGCAGTGACAGCCTAGTAGAATAGTCTGACAAGAAAGGACAGAGGAATGAGGGTTGCTGAAAAGATGTATGAAAAGAAAGATGGGAAGTACGTGGTATTTTGAATTACAGAAATGGCCTGTGGCCCTAGCATGCACCCCATTGCTCACCTAGAGATGTAGGATTGTGAATACAATCTCTGCAAGTCATTTTAAGAAGATACAACAAAAACTTTAAAGTGAAGTGAATTCACTGTGCTTCTTTCCATTAACACAAGGCACCTCCTTTGAATCACCTGATTTGTTGGACCTAAATCCAAGTATAAGTTCTTTGCATTACTAGGATAGTTAGCCTTGTTTTGAGCATCTGAAATCTTTAATCACTCTCTGATAAATTCCAGAATTTCCCTGTTGTGTTTGCTAATCTCCACCAGAAACAATGCTAAAGGTTGTTGGAGAATCTTCTCTGTACATCAGAGGATTCTGATATGCACAGTATATTCTCAGTATGCCCTGATTGAGATGAGTCATTGTTTCCATTGAGCTTTCCATTCTTTTTTTTGCTTTTAAGTACAAGAACATGAAAGTCCCTTCTGGATGACGAGAATGTGACTGATTTGGTTACTGGATTCTGCCTAAATACATGATGCTTTCAAATCGAATTGAGGAATCAGTGAATTGCATTTCCAATCAATGGAAATGAAAATCAATTGGAAATGCACAGAGGACTTACACATTGTACTTTGTGCTTCTGTCCTTGCTAGTGCCTCCTGTCTGCCCTCTTGCATCATTGCTTATTGAATTCAAACCTTCTGCAGTGTTGGTAGATGGTTGATCTACGTGTAGCTTCAAAGTGACAGTCTAATTAGCAGATGATGTGATATGATTTCAGTAGGAGATATGCCATAAAGCAGATGAAAGGCCTAATACAACATCACATTTCAGAGACTAGTGTATCTTGTGAACAGCACAAGTAGCATCAAAACCTGTCGGTCTAGGAGGAGAAAAAGTCACGAAAAGTCAGTAAAAGGAGAATTGAATCTATACCTATGTTAGTAAAATGACTAGGGAGAATACTCTCACGTCCTCTCCAGTCTGGACTGCACAATTTAATGTTATTTGTCCTTGTCTTCACAGTTACGCTTCTGGCCTTGAGATCTCTTGCAGAGTTCAAGAAGAAAGCGGTGTGGACTAAAGCTTATGGGTGGTAGCTGCATGTTGTATCTTATCCAATCAATAAAACTGTTCATACTTGAAAGCATACTATTACTATTCAGGCATCAAGACCACCAATTTCAAAGAGGTTTCCTATCAGAAGGTGTTGGCTTTTTTTTTTTTTTAATCCTTTTACCTCCTCCCAAAGACTCATAAGATAAAAACAATATTTTGTTTTTCACTAATGGTGTGTTGTTCTTTTACAAACTACCTAGCGTGGTTTAAACTGTGCTGAATCTAAATGAGAAATACGCGTGCAGTTGTTTCAGTTGAGTTGTTTCAAGTGACACCTGGGAGCCTCAAAAGCTGTAGTGGAGTATTCCTTTAACTTATGGAAGTTTTGTAGGGATGGGTGGAACAAAAACCTTGTAAAATTTGTTTGGATGTAGTCTATTTACTAAAGTATGTTTTAGTGTAACGGACTTCTGAATGAGTTTTATTTTTTAATTGATAACTCTTTTTTAGTAATGCTCTTGTGCAGTAGTGACAACACATTGAAGGTATATAATGTGAGCAGGGTTTCTGAAAGGGGTGGTATGTTTGTCAGTTTTGCAACAGCTTTATCAAGATCATTGAAATAAGTCAATGATCCTAATGGCTGCTCTGTCCCCAGCTCCAGGACGGTTGCAGTTTTCTTTCCACTTACAACTGTTCTTGTCTCCTTTACCCTCCTTTGCCTCCAGGCAAAAGGGACGATACAGCAACTTTTCTACCCTTGCCATCTTAAATAAAATTTCTACCCCTGCCATTTTCCTTGTTTAATACTCTTCTCTCTCTGAAGGAATAGAAAACTTTTCCACTTTGCAGCCTTGCTAAGACAGACTTTAAAAGAGATTTTGTATTTAGCCATCCTCCTCACTAGAGCAGACAAAAATTAACTAAATATATTTGGTCCCTAATGTCTTCCAAAGCAGTACTAGTGAGAGCATTGTTGATTTTGACCAGCTTGCATGAAATGTTACTGCCCTACATCTAGAAGCCACACCACATTGCAAGAATTCTCTTTATTTCAGGACTGAACAATTCCTCTGGCGAAAAAATTCTCCTCTGACGTCTTTATGGGCTTTTCTCACTTAACAAGGTTACTGTGGGATGGCAGTGAGCTTCCCACAGCAATTAGACATTTCTTCAGCAATTAGCTGTGTGGAGGATTAACGCAATCCTCATTTGTGTTTCTGAAATAGTGTATAATAATGGTAACTTCCTGCTCTGTATGCAGCTGTATACTGAAGATAGTCTAAAGATGAATGTACAGAAGGACCCACTGAAAGCAGATGTCACTGAGTCAGTATCTCAGTGCATGACATTTCCATTTGTGTGCACTTCTAAGTAACCTCTGACAAAGCTAAATATGTCACGTTTTAATGGTGCCATCTCTAGTGTAGTTTCAAACTAACTTACACCTTTACTCACCTGAGTTTACATGTGTATTAGCATTTTATTTCAGGTTAAAAGTTTGCCTTTTTTTTTTTAAAGGGAATCTCTGGGCGATGCCCACATGCTGTGTTTTAGTTTGCATAGTGGAGCAGTGTATAAACATCTGAGTTAAACTATAGTGATAGACAGTAGAAAAGATAAGCCAAGGGATGGCATGGCACCACCTGAGAGTGGCAGTGCTCATGCAGCTTCAGGGAGCACTGAGCATTTAGGAGCATATCTGAAATGCTTGTACACCAACGCACACAGTGTGAGAAACAGACAAGATAAACTGGAAATGTTGGTCAGTTCCCAGAGCTACAGTATCATTGGTATTGGTGAGACTTGGTGGAATGAGTCCCACGACTGGAGTGCTGGGATGTAGGGCTGCAGGCTGTTCAGGAGAGATAGGCAGGGCAGGCGAGGTGGAGGAATTGCGCTGTATGTAAGGAAGAGGTTTGACTGTACAGCCCTTACAGTTAATGATGATGTGGTTGAGAGCCTCTGGGTGAGGATTAGGGGGATGGAAAACAAAGCAGATGTTGTTGTGGGTGTCTACTATTGTCCACTCAGCCAGGATGGTAACACTGATGATTTATTCTATAGGTAATTAGGAGAAATCTCTGGATTGGCAGCCCTTGTCCGTATGGGACTTTCCAGACGTTAACCACACCACTGTGACAAGTAAGTCTGGGAAATGCCAGAAGTACGTGGAAGATTATTTCTTGTCACAAGTACTCAGTGAGCCAACTAGTAAAGATGCCATCCTAGACTTGTTTGTGGACAGAGAAGGACTTGTGGGAGATGTGATGGTAGGTGGCTGTCTTGGCCACAGTGATCATGAGTGGTTAAGTTTAAATTTTTTGGTGTAATGAGAAAAAAGGTCAGCAGAGTTGCTACTCTGGGTTTCAAGAGAGCAAACCTTAAGCTACTCGGGGAGCTAGTTAGCAGTGTCCCTGGGAATCTGCTTTTGAGGGCTTAAGAATCCCTGAGAGCTGGTCAGTTTTTAAGAACGGCCATTTAGAAGCGCAGGAGCAGGCAATCCCATTGTGCCAAAAGTCAAGCAAGCAGGGCAGTTCTTGGAACTAAGGTGGAAAAGAAATTTTATGATCTCTGGAAATGAGGTCAGGCTTTGCAAGAAAATCACAGAGCTGTGGTTTGCATGTGTAGGGAGAATACACGAAAGGCCAAAGGTCAACTAGAGTTGAAACTGTTGGGTCAGATAACAAAAAATTCTTTTTTTAGTATGTTAAGAGCAAGGGGAGAGCTAAGGAAAATATTGGACCAATACTTAATGAAGTTAGTCACCTGACAAATATGGATCAAGAAAAGGCAGAGGCATTTTATGCTTTTTCTTGCCTCAGTCTTTATTAGTACTGATAGACCTTGGGGTGCCAGTCCTCTAAGTTCAAAGACATGTAGGAGCAGTGATTTTTCCATTTGAAGACCCTGAAATTGCAAATGACCAGTTGCACCAGCTGAATCTTTGTAAATCCATAAGGCCTGATGGGATTAATCCCAGAGTACTGGAGGAGCTAGCAGATGTCGCAGCAGAACCCGTCTTGATAATCTACCAAAGGTCGTGGGACTCTGAGGAGGTCCCTGCTGACTGGAAGCTAGCCAGCATTATTGTAATTTACCAGAAGGGCATCAGGGAAGACCCAGGGAACTACAGACCTGTTAGTCTAACCTCATTACCTGTGAAAAATCATGAAGAACATTATACTGGGTGCTATTGAAAGGCATTTAAAGGATGATGCAATCATCAGGCACAGTCAACACGGCTTCACAAAGGGAAGATCCTGTCTAATCTGATTCTATGACAAGATCACCCACCTAGTGGAGGAAGGGAAGGTGGTGGATGTAGTTTTTCTGGATTTTAGTAAGGCTTTGGATACTGTCCCTCACAGCATCCTTCTGGACGAGTTGTCTGACTGTGAGATGAGTGGGTTCATGGTACACTGGGTGAAAAAATGGCTGAGGGTTATAGTGAATAGGGCTACATCTGGCTGGTGGCCAGTCACCAGTGGTGGTCCTCGGGGCTAGTTCTGTCCAGTATATTTATCAACAGTCTGGATGCAGGAGTTGGATGCACCGTTAGCAAGTTTGCTGATGATACCAAGCTGGAAGGTACTGCTGACTCTCTCAAGGGACTAGAGGCCTCGCAGAAGGATCTAGATAGATTGGAGCATTGCGGTATGATTAATGGGATGAAATTTAACAAATCAAAATGCTGATTCTACATCTAGGACAGAATAACGCTGGGCACAAGTCTAAACTGGGAGAGGAATGGCTGGAGAACAGCCCTGCAGAAAGGGATCTGGGGGTGCTGGTTGACATTAAGCTCAACAGGAGCCAGCAGTGCGCCCTGGCAGCCAAGAGGGCAACCCACATCCTGGGGTGCATCAAACACAGTATACGAAGCTGGTCAAAAGAGGGGATTATCCCGCTGTATTCAGCATTGGTGCGGCCTCACCTTGAGGACTGTGTGCAGTTCTGGGCCCCACAGTTTAAGAAGGGTGTGAAGGTCCTTGAATGCATCCAGAAGAGGGCAACAAAGCTTGTAAGAGGGCTGGAAGGCATGTCCTATGAGGAGCAGATAAGAACTTTGGGCTTGTCTAGTTTGTAGAAAAGGAGGCTGAGGGGCAACCTCATTGCTCTCTACAGCTTCCTGAGGAAGGGAAGTGGCAAGGGAGGTGCTGATGTCTTCTGCCTGGGATCCAGTGACAGGATGTGTTGCAATGGCTCTGAGCTGTGACAGGGGAGGTTTAAACTGCACATTAGGAAGCATTTCTTTAGCAGGAGTGTGGTCAAACATCAAACACAGTATACGCAGCTGGTCAAAAGAGGGGATTTAGCACTGGTGCAGCCTCACCTTGAGGACTGTGTGCAGTTCTGGGCCCCACAGTTTAAGAAGGGTGTGAAGGTCCTTGAATGTGTCCTAAAAAGACTGACAAAGCTGGTGACAGGGCTTCTGTAAGAAGTGGCTGAGAACTTGTCTAGTTTGGAGAAAAGGAGGCTGAGGGGTGACCTCATTGCTCTCTACAGCTTCCTGGGGACAGAAGGTGGAGAGGGAGGTGCTGATCTCTTCCCCCTAGGATCCAGTGACAGGACACACAGGAATGGTTCAAAGCTGTGCCGGGGAGGTTTAGACTGGACACTGGGAACCATTTCTTCACCGAGAGGGTGGTCAAACACTGGAACAGGCTTCCTAGGTGGTCAATAACCCATGCTTGTCAGTGTTTAAGGGGCATTTGGACAATGCCCTTCATAATATGCTTTAACTTGGTCAGCCCTGAATTGGCCAGGCAGTTGGACTAGATAATCGTTGTAGGTCTCTTCCAACTGGAACTATTCTATTCTGAATACTCCAGTGTACTGTACAACTCTGTGTTCAGTGCACAGGACTAAACTAGAGCTAGTTTGCAGTAAAACCCTTGGAAAGGCAGATAAGTTGGCTGCTGGGTTCTCATTGAGAATCCTTCACTCTGTAATTCCATTCCTATTGGGCTGCTGTATCTGCAAGTATACATATAGCCTATGATGGAGAGACCATTCCTCCTGTTTTGTGCTAGTGCTGGAGAAATTAATATGACTTTTATTTCTAGGTGATCACCTTCAAAACAGTGTGTTGCTCTGGAGACAATAACTTTCAAGGACTGAGGTTGGCAAGTTAGTTGCTACTGCATTTTAGATGTGTGGGAAGGCAGCAGAGGAAGCTTGTGGTGGAGTTATTGGTGGGACAAGTTCTTCTGACTCCACCATAGCTGTTCTGTGGGCAAACAGAAGGGATATTTTTTTTCTAACTTTAGCACTTAGGTATAATTTCTTTTCCACACTATATGTATTTCATATGCATATTTATGAATTCAATCTCAGTACATAAGCTGTTACTAAAACTACTGTTTTTTCAAATATCGGACAAATGTAGTAGTCAAATACCATTCTGTTCCTAAAGAGATTTTTTAACCACTTTTAATTATATGTCACTTACCTAGTGATATTTCTTCACCCTTGTCTATACAGTACATTATTTTGCCTGTGTTTATGTAGATATTTAAGAACTACACTTATTTTGATTCCAATATCAGATGATCTAAATGGAGATACAGATGAGCTGGGATCTCAAGACTGATACAAGTTTTGAACAAAGATTTAAGTTCCCAGAGGTGGAAAGACTTGGGCAGCGTTTTAAGCTGCTTTTTGCCTGCCTAATCCTGAGCTTTTCAAGAAACTAAGGTAAGGAGTTGAAGCTGAAGTTACAGTCACCTGCTGTGGTCACACATGGAAGGCTGATTCCCTGAATCTCCCAATTGACTGCCCCAAGTTACCTCTGCACCTTCTGTCATTAACTTCATGCCTTTTTCCTGCAGTTTAGATTTGGGGCTCCTCCCCATAGTGAATTTTAAAGAATTCTTCTCCTATTCCAGCCTTTTAGCCAGATGTAAGAATCAATGCAAAGGGAGAGCATCACATCCTCATATTTATTTTTTTTTTAACATGAAACAATAAACATGGCTTAATATGATGGGCTGCCAGATGCCCATTCAGCTGCTCCTCTCACTCTACCTCCACAGCAGGACAGGGAGAAAGTGCAATAAGAAAGCTTGTGGCTGACGATAAAGAGAGGGAGGTCATTTACCGCCAGAAAAACAGACTCAATTTGGGGAAGACTTAATTTATTGCCAGTTAAAAATAGAGTAGGATGGTAAGAAACAAAAGACAAAACCAAAAAAATCCCCACCTTCCCTCCACCTCTCCCTTCTTCATTCCTTCATTCCTGAATCTTCTACCTCCTCCTCCCCAAGTGGTGCAGGGTGGGTAGGGAATGGGGGATGCAGCCACTTCATGAACCTTCATCTCTGCTGGTTGTTTTTCTTCACACTGTTCCCCTGCTCCACCATGAGATCCCTCCTGTGGGATGTAGTCCTTCATGAACTGCTCCAACATGGTTCCTTCTCACAGACTGCAGCTCTTCAAGAACTGCTCTACCATGGGTCCTTTCCATGGGGTATAGTGCGTCTGGAAAAGGCTGATCCTGTGTGGGCTTCAGCTTCCTTCAGGGCACATCCACCTGCTGCAGCATGGATATCTTGTCTGGCGTGGTCCTCCATGGGCTGCAGAGGGACAACCTGCTTCACCATGGTTTTCTCCATGGGCTGCAGGGGCATCTGCTGCAGTGTCTGGAGCTCTTCCTCCTCTCCTTCCCCATGGACCTTGGTGTCTGCAGAGCTGTTTCTCTCACATTTTTCTTATTCTTCTCTCTCACAGCTGCGGTATAGTGTTTTTTACCTTTTCTTAAGTATGTCTTCACAGAGGTGCCATCAGCTTTGCTATTTGGCTCAGCAGTGTCCTGTGGTGACTCTGTTTTGGAGCTGACTGGAACCAACTGTGTTTGGCATGGGGGAAGCCTCCAGCTTCTCATGGAGGCCATTCCTGCAGCTTACCCACTGCCAAAGCCTTGTCACATAAACCCAATACAATGTCATACGTCATGTTTCTTCCTACAGGGTATATTAATTCCAGGCAGTTTGGTGACAAACACTTGAGATTGAATTTTCAAGGGGAAAAATGTCCATGTTCCACCTTTAGTGTGTTATATAGTGGTTTGATGTGAAGCATTCTTATTCTGGCTCTCTTCTTCAAAGCTGTCATCCTGTTCAGCTGCTCTGTACATTTCTTCATGTTGTCACACTTGAATCGGTTTGGGTCAGACAGAAGTCCAAGGTGGGAGTACTTCTATTTCTCTAATAAGTTCCGAATTCCTACCTCTGTTTGCAGTGCTTTAAAAAAAAATACCAGGGTTGACCCTATACTATTGCATGTATGACGTTGTTGTTTATGGTTTGCCAATACTCCAGTGGTCACAGTAGTCTGCAGGTATTGTCTGGCATATATATTAAATAAATAAAGATGATAGTAGGTGACCTTTCTTAAAAACTGAGTTTGAGGCCAGCTTCACTCTTTCTTTACATACTCTCTTAGGCTGCATGGGTTAGAAAGTCATACAGGCAAAAGCCTCTTCAAGTGGTGATAGTGTTTGTTGAAATATTATTTTCCAGTTATTATCTTTCCTCCCTCCAACTATTCTCTGTTCTCCCTCCCCCCAGGTCTTCAGTCAAGCTCAAAAAAATAGCCTCACTTTTCTCCCCCACCTGCTTGTATTCAAATGTAGGTGATAATCAATATGGGTGAAACATCAGAAAAGCCTCTTCCAGCCTCTGAGCAGTTATTTGTCCATTTTTGCCTGTACAGTCCACTTGGTTGCTGTCCATATTCTTCATTCACAACCTTTGAAGAGACTATGTTCTAGTTGCATTCTCACAGAGAGTCCTACAGAAGTATGAGGAGCAACACACTTGAGTAGAATGGCTGGAATTTTGCACATGGCTTTTGATAGTCATGCACTTCCCTTTAAAGAACAACATATATTTGGCCTGACTACATCACACAACTTTTGTTTATCTGTCTGCTGTACAGCATGGAAGAAAATCATTGTGGTGAAAGAGACTCTTAAGGTCTGCCAGACTCATAAGTTTTTATTTCTGCTCCTTAAATATCCCCTTGAATGTGTAGTAGATGAGTACCGGATCAGTTGCCTTTTTGGTTTAGCTGTGTTTTCCGGAATCTTGTTTGGAGAAGTGAAGGTTGGACCAGAATGGGAGGGATCCTTTGTGAATGCTTGGGGCCAGCCACCATGTGAATCTCACAGGTTGCAAAGTTTCCAGCTTCTGCTCCTTGAGAGATTCCAGTTCTAGCCAGTTTAGCATTTATATATTTGAGGGACATACATGTTGGCCTAATACAAAATAATCTTGTAGATTAAATGGTATTGTCATTACAGAATGTCTGTTGCTAATGAGGCAAGAATTAACACCAGAATAAGGGTGTGATTGTGAGTGGAGGCACTCTTCAATTTTTTTCATTAACATATGTTAGAAAAAATGTATACATTTTTAAAACTCCTGCCATTTGAAGTCAAAACATTCCAAAGTAACTAGTTATTTTGAGCTGCTCCATTTTTGAGGTGCATTAAAGAGACATGCCTTTTCTGTTTGCATGTACATTATCTGGCTGTAGAATTTTCAGGAGTTTTGCATTGAAAATATTTTTCTATTTTCTTTTTAACCTATGATATGCAGCAGCCCACTGGGAATATATTTCTTATTTCCAAACAAAATATCAACTTAGCTTCTTTTCTTTTTGATGTTGCCTGTCCCTAGGTGTGCCTTCCTTTCAGAGAGGAGATTCTGGATGATAAAGCACATACCTGAATCAAAACACAAAATGATATAAGAACAAGGGAGTAGTGTCCACAGTGTCTTCATTTCATTTAACAGGAACAGTATGAGCCTTCATCTGGCAACCTGCACAGTTCCTTCCATGAACTTAGGAACAGAAAACTGCATCACAAAGATGAGATCCTTCAAATTAGCGTTAAAGCCAATGGCAGAACGAAGACTTGGCTGTAACGCAGCCAACTTCAGTTCAAATTTTTTGAAAGTATTTTGTTGAGAAGGAGAAGCAGGTTTTTTACATGCAGGTTTTGGAGTGGGCTCTTTTTTTATCCCTTTGGAAAATTACGCTGTAAACATTTTAATTTAGCTATAACTTCTCATACCAGCTGGGAGGAATGAGTGAGGTGGCGTTGCATAGAATAAGAGTATGATCAAATGGGAGTTGATTTAAAAAAAAAAAAAACCTAAAAAAAACAAACAAAAAAATCCCGAAATGCGCAAACTTTAGTAAGTAGCTGTAAGGCCAGGATCATTGAAGCAATTTTTATATTTTTGTTTTGTATTTTTATGCCTCACACAGCCAGTGTCTCTTCCAAATTCAATTATTTGTATTTGAAAGACACCAGAAATCAAAACAGCTGGTGGTGAACTTCCCTGCAGTGGTATGCAGGAGATGTAGCAGAGCAAGTTTGTGAAAGGAGCTATGCTGATTTGATTTTTTGTTGCCATAGGCATCCCAGTTGCATTGAGACCCAGCTTTCTGGAAGATGAGATACTTACCTATGAACAGCACTAGCAGGTACATTTTCAGAACATAGGGGAAGTAGATTGAGAAGGCGAATGGAAATGGTAGCTTGATGGAGTATGTGCCAAAGGATTCAAAATAAGGCAGTGATACACAGATTGCAAATGCTGTAAAATAACACGGTAAATCTTTAGTCAAAAGCAGGTGGAAGATCATCAAAAAGCTTCATGTAAAAGTCAGTTACCTTTAAGGCACAGTATTATATGCTGAATTTACCATGTCATTCATATTTGTCTGCACGTGTTGTTTTCTCCTTCAGTTCAGTTTTGTAGGTCTGAGATGCGAATTGCTGTCAATACTAGAATTATCAAGTATTTCCTATTCAGTAACACCTTCTGTCACTCCTGTAGTTGCACTGCTTTCCATATGATCTCAGTGGGCACATTTCCTGACGTAAGTATGATAAGCTGCTAAATATGGCCTGCGCCAGTAAGGTCAGCCTCACTGGGTGGGGGAAAAAGGCAGCTTTGGGACTTCCTGTCTAATCTGGTCAGTCTGGAATGGGGGAATCCATGTGTCTTTTGTGGGGGTATTTTCCTGCTTTATCCACAAAAATGAACATTTTCCCATACTGTTTAAAAAAATCAACAACAGGAAGGAAAAAAAAAAAAACAAAACCAAAAAAAAACCCCAAAAAGAGCCTGGACACACAAACCCCAGAGAACTCCTATGAAGGAAAAAAAGCACTGAAAAGAAGATAGATAGGTGACATACATGTTAATGTGAGAGTAGATAAAAATTTATGACTACTTTGGCAACACAAAAAGAAATATCTTAAACACAAATGACAATTGAACTGATCAAATTTTATTGAAGAGGATTAAGGAAGCAAGTTGCTGGTACCTATCCCATCTCCTTACCTTTAGCCAGAACTGAAAGGGGATAGAGCGGGATGCACAGTGAGAAGTTGAGCCATGTCAGTGGTAGGTAGTATATTCCTGTCCTTGCTAACATGTTATAAGTGTACCTGCAGCAAGAGGAACAGCAGGTGAGCTCAGAGGGAATGATCATGTATTTAAAATAAAGGCATATTACTGAAAAATCCAAGGGAATTGCAGGAGAACTTGGAGCTGCCTATCTGAGAAAATTTCAGAACAATACTGCAACAGTCATGTTTCAGCTCTTACTGATGTCTAAAAGTAGATGGTTCATTGTTTCGGAAGTGTTGTCTGTGGTGCTACCCTAGAGCAAGCAGACAATGCAGCCCTCCAGCCCAAAGCCTCTGTCAGAAACCAGCGTGATTTCATATTGGTCCATCAGAAAATGGGTTTCAGATAGAGATGTTGCAGTTGAGAGGGGCAGGCACAGTATGACTATTGCTTTGGACTGAGAAAATGCCCATTTATGACTGCTGAGCCAGTTAAGCCACTGCTGAAGGAGGCTAAATGGCAAGGTAATCGCAGGTACTTAATCTTCTGTAGTATGGCTGCCCCTCCCTTCGACCTCAGAAGGGGTAGTTGGTGCAAAAAAAAAAAAAGGTTTTGCTCCCATGTGTTGCAGTAGTTTATTCTTTCTGTGGCTGTTACTGGGAGACCAGAACGCTTAGGACTTCAGTCTCCAAAGGTGAGCTAATCCTATCTAGTTTGATCTAAAAGTGGTACAGCAGCTTTCCAAACACTGGAGAAACAGGTCTGATTGCATTTTTGGTCAGCTGAAAAGCTTTGTGCCCCGTGGTCTAGCTAGAGATATGAAAATAAGGATTTTTAAGCCACTGTTAGCCAGGAGTGTTTCTGGCTGATGGAACCAGCATTAAACAAAGTTTCTGTATTCCCTTCTTAATAATTGATTTGAGTAATCATTCCTGGACCGTAGAAGAGTTTGATAGGCTACAAATGTACTATCTTGTCTGAAGTTTGCCCTCTCAACCTCAAGATTGTCTCCATATTTTACTATGGAGACATAATAATTATTAATAATAAGCCATAATCACAACCCAATACAAAAAGGAAACAGCTACTCCCTCTCTGTACACCTTCTTCAGCTTTTTATCGCATAAGCAGGAAAAATCAGATACAGAAAACCTTGCAGAATTTGCTTTCAGTATGTCATTAGCCATAATGCACAGGATATTTATGTTCCTGAAGAACTATGGGGAAGAACTGGTAATACTTCAAGACTAGTTGGCTAAGGGATGGGATAGATTTCTGTACACTTTTAGACATGGCCACTTCTTTGAGATGCTAGGACATGGCACAGATGCTGCAAAATAAATCAGTTAAGAATTTGAAGTCTGTATGTGTTGCACTATGCGTTATTATTTGAATTGGTCATTTGCTGCTATAAACCACAGTATCTTGCCTATTAAACGGCAGCTGTTATTGCTATGATGCTGGACTGTGTTCTTTAGCATTGATAGAAAATAATGATGCATTGGTAGGACTATTATGCACAGACAGGACTTTACAGCCAATACTGTTCACACTTGTGGGCTCTCTCCAGCTGCACAGAACCCTTTCATTTGAGAGTAGGTTCTACTATTTTACCTTTACGAACTTGAAAAAGAAATGGGATGGTGCAATAATCCAAATAATTAATACAAGTAGTAGTTTATTAACACATGTAGTACAAATACTCTGAAGCTGACTTAAAATATTTCTTCTAAATCCAACCTGACACTTTCCTTTTTCAGATCTCTTTTATAACATATATTTCCTTTGCTGCCTAAATCCATATGCCCCAGTCAGTCCCCAAAGCAAGGTATTTAAAATAGCAGAAAGCTATTTTAGCAGAAAGAAAGAAGTTAAAGTAAAAAACCTTGCTCCCCTACAGAGGTTGCTGTGTCTTGTTAAAATGCTTCTTAATTCCATATGTCTTCCCTGCTGTAAGTCTACAAACTGAGGTCCATAGAAGCTTAAGTTACACTTGAGAAATGTTAGTGACTTCAGATACCAAAGCAAAAGTCAGTAATCTGGAATTTTCACCATTTTACTTTTACCACAGGGAGGTACTGGTAACCTTCCACCATACAAAGTTCTTGAGATAAAAACCCTGAATTGTATTCCTATCCATTTTGCCTCATGCACATTGTCCCTTTCATGTGATATATGCCCTACTACACCAAAATTCTCAGTCTCTGCAGGGGAGCTCTTTGGAAAGCACAGTGCAATTAATGCAGAATAGTCTTTCTGTCTTAGTAGGAAGTTTGGCCAGTGCTGCCTTACTGTGCTGTCAATCTTGGATTGAAGTGAGATGTTAACAAAAATAATAATAAATTAAAGCAATAGGATTGTAAATCAGTTTTAGAAATGGCTGTTCCGTGGGAGACAGTTGTGATTTCCTTCTAAATTTTTGTTTAAAATGTCAAATCCTTTGAAATACAAATGTTAATGTAACAATTTAGTTTTGTAAGTCACTCAGCCTCTCAACTATGCAGATTTTTGTAAAGCGTTTATTTAAAATGGGTGATACGCTTTTCTACCAATTTTGAAATAATGAAGTGAACCTGCAGCACAGTGGGGGTGGGGTTCTGCTTGCAATAATGACCTATTTTCCCCTCGTGATTTCACGGTCGACTCCTTACCTGACCACGTCTAATAAATTCCAAAGGAAAAATAAAACACACACGATGTATTTCCCTTGAACTTCTTCCTGACTATTGATCACGACAAATAAAACAATTATTCTTTCAGTGATCTGAAAAGAAAAGAGAGTTGTGAGTTCAGGTAGCACCTTCTGTAGCTCTCATTTCTGTACCATTTTGGCAAAATACGAGGCCACAGGTGAATCTGATTTGCTTTACACAAACGCTCTATTGAACGTTTCACTTCTTAGCCTGCTTTTGTCCAAGGCCCCGTTGGGCTCCAGCTCGGAGAACTGGAAACTGTTGGCTGCAGCATCAGATATCTGTGTGCCAACAGGGATGACTTGGGTTTGTATCCATGCTCTGCCCTGTAAAATATATATGTCTGTAGTATTCAGCTCTGCCAACAGCTGCTTGTGAAACTCTGCCAGAATGGTACCAGTTCACTCTGAACTACTCTGTTTAAAAATGTTGAAGGAGAAAACATGCATCATTCAGTTGGTATAAATCGGTATAGCTTCATTGGGGTTTTTTTATACCCACTGTGATCTCTTCCTCAAGGTACCGTAGGTTTAATGATTTTGTGCGTTAAGATGTCAAGTCAGTGAAGAGTCATGAAATGAAAAGGGGTTAACAAGGTGGTTTTTATAAGCACCGTCATTCTTCACTGGTTTCCCCCTTCCCCTTATTCCTACCTTAAATGAAATAAGAAGTTGGCCTCTCAGCAAGTTTGCATGGTAGTTTTGGTACATAAAGTTTATGGGTTCCTGCATGGAATGTTTTGGCTACAGACTTTTTTTTGAAAACCGCATCTGTCAGATAATGCAGCCATCACTTCACTATTCAGCAAAATTACGTGAGAGCAACTTTTCAGACAGAAAGAGAGCATGTCCATCCCCTAGGGACCTGATTCCTCATCTTGAAAAGCACTGAGGGGCCACAGATAAAAATGGTTTTGCTGCTTCTCACCCTGCCCTGACTGTCACCTTGTGCCGCTGATCCCATTGGTCCCTAACTGAGGAATTGATTTCGAAGAAGGTCAGATGTTGAGAGTGAGAGGTAGTAAGTCCTGGGTTTGTATGCGGATGCTGAGGAACTTGGCAAGAAAATAGGGAAACTGGGAGTTTTGATGCAGGATCTGAAACCAGATACAACAGAGAGAGGAGAAGCCTGGTGGGACAACTATCACAACAGGGAAATCAAAACAAAGGTAAAAGCTGTGTGAGCATTGAACAGGATTGTGTGCTGGAGAGAATAAATAAAATAGAACCTGAGTTAAAATCATTTTGGTGAAGGGTGGTAAAGGAGTGCAGCATTGGTGGTGTGGGCATTTTGTTCCCAACCCTAGGATCAGACTGGGATGTGGAGAGAGAGTTCTGCAAGACTCTTAATATGAGAGATATTTCAGGGAGTTGTCTCACCTAGAGACCAAAGCTTTATCATGATAATGAAAAGGTGGACATGTTTTTAGATGTCAGAGCTGGCAGGTTTTCCAAACCATCACTTGCTCCTCAAGAGGTAGCTGGGTGGAAAAGTACTAGAAAACAACATGGGTCCAGTGATCAGGAGCTGATCCCATTTCAGTGAGGTGGGTAAGCAGTAGACAGGTAGCAATGATCCCTAGTTTCAAAAGGATAAGCACTGGCCAGTGAGACAGAGTGGCCATGGAGACCCAAAATTCAGCCTGATGGTTTGGGAGTGAAGTAGGCTGTGGATTTCCTTCTCTGCCCAGGGCACAAGCCGTTGCACAGAGGCAGTGAGTATCACCTAGCTGGGGCTCAAGAGGTTTCCTCCATCAGGATTCATGTTTGGGAAGGGGAGCGGTGGAGGCACTCAGCCTCACCAGTTGCAGACGATGGAAGTCAGTAATGAGACACTGTGTAGTTGCAGATGGTGGAAGTCAGTGATGAGAGTGTGTAAAGTAGGTTAAGCACCTGCAAGAGCAGGGACCTGGACCAGACACAAAGCAGGTCCCCTGTAGGTCTTCTGTTCCTGTTAGACTGCAGTCTCAGCCACCAAGCAATGGGATGCGCAAAGCAGCCATCAGAGACTGAAAGTGAAGAACCACCTGTGGCCTTGCTTTGGAGCACATCTGCAGGGCAGGACACGGGCCTGGCTGCTCAGGGCAATTGTGATGTCCTCATGAGGACAGACAGTGGCATCCTACCTGCCTCTCTTCTGTGTCAATGGGGAGGTTGCCAGCCTGCCTGCCTGCCTTTATCCCCCTTCAAGACATTGTGCTCTTTTCTTTCATAGCACTCATACCTTTAGGTAGCCCACACAGATGGAAGGTGCGTGCAGGGGTTAGTCAGAGGCTGGGGACCTTTTCAGCAAGGAACAAGGCAGGGTGATACTTGAAGAAGAGATTCCAGTAAATGTCTGTTGATATTGTGGCCCTATACACACACATCTGTATACATATATACATGGAATCATGTACATATCTCAATATGCACACATACAGGTATGCATATGTATACATGTCTATATACACACATCCATATATACACATATATACATAAAGCATGTGCTGCAGCTCAGCCACAGCTCATTTCTTCTGTGGATTATCTTTCCTTGCGTGAATGAAAATATGGTATTCTCTGTTGCTACTCCCTTACTCAAAAAAAAAAAAAAAAAAAAAAAAAAAAAAAAAAAAAAAACCCAAAAAAAAAAAAAAAAAAAAAAAAAAAAAAAGAAAAAAACACCCAAAACTAGAAGTCCTATGTTTTCATGTTCATGAAAAGGAAGTATGTGCTGACACCTCACAAAGCGTAAATACAATGGTTTCGTTTTTCATTCCTTCTTGTTCTTTGTGTTAAGGTCAAACTGGAATTTCCTTCCTCTCCCAGTACTGGTCTCTCATAGCAAGTTCTGTAGAATGGCATAAATTTCCACAAGGCAGCCTGGGCGTTTGAAGTGAGTAAGTGAAACAGAGCAGATTACACTAGCTAAGATTAGGGCAGGGCAGGCAGCACATTCACTTCCATTTTTTAATAACCATGACTGTGCAGTATCGTACTTGGTACCTGAAACCCTTACTTAGCTCTTTGGTTTAGTGGATGTTTTTAAAAAGTAAGAAAAGTGCTACTAAATTATTAGATTAAGTTTAAAATTAATGATTTTATCACAAAGTATTACATTGCCTTTGGTGAGGTAAATCCAATCCTGTTTGCACAGAATGAAGAACTGGTATTTTGTTTACAAAAAAACCACCAGTCTTTTCTTATATCTTTCCTACTCTCTCTCTTGCTAAAGTACCAGTGTCATCAGCCTTTACTCCTTGGCCAGAGTACTAAATTTCATTATCCTGTTTTGAAAACTGCAATGATATGTGACACGTTTTCCTGTCCTCCTCTCAATCGTTCAAGCTGCAAGTGCCCTGAGAGACATCCCTTTGCAACAACTTTGTGACCCTCCCTTGTCTTCCCTTCCTCCAGAGCATCCATCACACAGGACTCATCTGTCTTTCATGGCGTGACTTGGCCTTGGCCTACCTAACCCTTCTCAGGTGCCTGGTGGCCTGAGCCTTTGTCCCTCAATGAGGCCACCCTGAATGGGTTTTCCCAGAGAACATCTCTGAATTTGCTTTTGCCCTACCTGTAATGTGCGCTTCCCTGACATGACTAGTGTCTCCTGTTCTCTCTTCCTAGAGATCACCTATGAGATGAACTTCACTGTGGATGTGCACGTGTGTGCATGGCCTGAAGGATGCATCTAGGGATGTGTTTTAAGCTTAGAGTCAGAACAGGTGGTGGGAATGCAGAACAGGGCAGCCACTATCAAATTCTTGCAGCTTTACCAGTGCCCTGACTATGTGCTGTAGTCCAGTAGGCTGCAGTGAGGTGAGCTCTAACTGTCCTTCCCCAGTTCTTTGTGGAAAATTGATTTTTTTTTTTTTTTTCCCCCCTAAGAGGCAGGGAAGAAAGTGTGGCAAGGGACATGGCAGTACTGTTGGCACAGAAATCCTTAACCTACGCTCTCACAGCAAAAACAGGGCCACCCAAGTGAAAGCAGAGTCTACACCAAAGAGCTTGTACACCTTGCTTGGACAGCATGAGACTACTGCTAACATCAAGGCTAGAGTGTTCTGTTTGCGGAGGGAGAACACCTGGGGGAAGAAACAAGTAAGGATCCAAAGCTGTGATCCTTTGTTGTAAGGCAAACGTTTGGAGTCACAGCGCCGTATCATTCTCTGACCCACCTTCTCCATGCTGCCCTGGAGAGCACTGCAGTAACTGCACTGCCCAAGAAAGGTCAAACTTTTCTTGCTCAGAATATTCAATTCATATCTCGTCTCTTCTGTGGTGGCACACCACAGTGTTTGGGCAGCCCCCCCGATCTCTGCTTCCGTAGGGCTGGGTAGGAAAGGAATGGACTATGTCAGGGCTGGGGAATGTGTAAACTCTTGCCAGGATAAGCCTAGCTTTAATGACTACTGGCGTTAGCAGGCTACTCTTCTCTCCAAGAGATGATGTGAGATTTGTTACAGAACACATTAGATAGGATATTCCACCTCCCACCCCCGCCACCCACCCCCCCCCGGGTAGGGCAAAAGCATGTAGATTTAAGCAGGGAAAAAGAGTTAATTGCATTTTGACAAATTTACTACCATACTTAGCAAACAGCATAAATGAGAGAGATCTGTATTAGTCAATCAATTTCTAATGGAGATTTAAAAAGAGGAACATCTTTACCCATGCAATATGTCATTTGATAAAAATGGGCTATCCAGAAACCTAAAAACATAACTAACTACTCTTAGTCTTCTACCTTCTGACTGCTGAGAGCAATACCAGTTTCACCATTATTCAAATACTAAGGATTGGAAAAGTTTGAAGGTAAACTCACATCAACATTTTTACTTTTTCCAATGCATTAAGAAAAATACCAAAACCTGAGATTAACTCCCAACAGAAAACAAGAGTGTGGTAAGGAAAATGACAAAGAATCATCTTGTTTTCTGCTATGGCATGTGATCTTTTGGCTGGTTTTCTGCCTACAGCTGAACATATGCCCTGTAAACCCCTTAACAGCATCAGAACCTCTGGATGCCACCACAATTTGCCCATGTCTGGGCAGAGACCCTTACAGCAAGAATGTGACAATTCTCCTTTCTTTCCACTGCCACTGTTAATTCGTCTTCGGTCCCTTGATTTTTCTTTCTTAATTCTTTTCCTTCCACACTTCATGGCTGCCAGCAAACCCTGTTTCAGGAGACTTGATGTGCTGGTGGTTGTCTCACTGCCATCCCTTTGCAAGCCCACAAAATCTTGTCTTGTGCTTGTCTACCAAATAAATACACACTTGTCAGTGAAGAAATGTCATGGGAAATAATTAGCTACTGAAACATAGGCTCTGAAGCGTTTTCTTCTGGCTGTAAACATGTTGGCTGGGGACATAGTATCCTCAGCCACCCATGGCGCCCTGCAAATGGTGGCTGCCCTGTTCCTGCAGGTGGCCGCTTCTCTGGGTATCATCCTTGTCGCTGGTGTTGTGGGCTGGGTGTGGGGCACTCACTGTTCAGTTTCACTCCAAAAGAAAAATTTGAGAGAGCAGCTCTTTGCCAACCCATTTCTAAGGGCTCAATTGCTGCTGTTAGCAAACCATTAGCGGACCAAGCTCCCTGAGAAGGGGTGCGAGTGGAGCACTCAGGGTACTTCAGCTTGGGCTTGTCCCCAGAGGCAGCCATGGCAGAAGTGTGTAGGTCATCCAAGGAGGGTCTTGAGAAATGGACTTACCTGCAAAAACCTGGGGAAGAGACGGCTTTTATCAATGCCAATGAGGATGTGTAGGATCTCCAATACAGATAACAACTGGCAAAGGCGCATTACAAGTCCTATGGAGTAAAATGTGTCGGCCAACGAATCTACAAAGTGAAGAGCAAAATTAGAGGGTGGTTATATAGTAAAAGTCTGGACCAACTACTGGGTTTGCTCTTGCCCTATCACGCCTGGAGAGGATGAGAAATAAGGTTCACACAGTGCCAAACTTTTGGGTAGCAGAAGCAAAGCTTTGGGGAGGGGAGGAGGCAGACTGCGTGTGTGGCTCTGACACAGAGATGGGAAGCTGAGGAAAGAATGGGATCTCCTGTACTTGATGCACTGGCAAACACTGTGCAGGATGTGTTGGTTTAGAGATACCATTTTTTGATATTTCTAAATGTGAGGAAATGTTTAGGAAATGTATGAGGAATGGCTAAACATGAGGAGATGTTGAGTTCCTGCCTGTTTCTGTACCCATGGCACTTCCTAACATAAGCAGACGATAAAGTAGGTCTATTATGTGCCTGCAACTGTCCACCATTATAAATCACTTTATATTTCCAGTCACTAGTTTTCTATTTTTGTGCCTTAACCCCAGGCACAATGGAAAGAGAAATATGTTATAATGTTTTTGGATGGAGAGAGTATGTGCAATAACCACAAATACATTCCCTCCTAGTCGCTTCGATGAGATTGATATTCACCAAAATGACTGAACCTGGTCACATTTAGGTCTATCTCTTAAGTGAAATGTTACTGCTGAATATTAAAGCTCATTAGCAAAACAAAAGCTTCGTTCCTGACGTGATACAGGCAGAATGAAGGTACCAGTAGTTTGTTCATCCTTTTTAACAGAAGAAACAATGCTTTTCTAATAGAAATTACAGCCCCTGATATTTTATGTACACCTATTCAGAATCCTAACTTCATCTCTAATTTGACACCTCTGTGCATCACTGCCTTTTAAAATGTTTAAGGAAAATATCGAAAGAATCCTACCTTTTCCAAATGACATGAACCTGATGATCATATTTGTAAATATCCAGGAATGTCCACAGAATTGCATTAAGTCATACACGAAGAGGTAGGTGTTCATCATAAAGCTGTGGAGCTGAAAATGATAAAGCAAACTGTATGACTTACTACAACATTCAAGCTTTTTGACCTCTAGGAATTGCACCCTCTTTGGACATGTTAGTAAATCAAAGTAAAACTGCTGAAATGTAAACAGATCAGTGAAAACTGTCTGTGTCTGTCAGTGGCCACGGAACAGTTCTCTCCCTAAGCGACCAAAGGCTCCCTTTGTTGGTGCACCCAGGATATGCCCAGAAAAATTTGCTGAGTTTCCACTAGCGATTAGGGTGATCTGCGGCCATAGAGTGAAACTTGTGCCTCCAGAGGAAAAAGTAGCTAAACAAAGACACTGCACCAAGTGCTGGATTCACGCCTGAGCCCCTTGGCTTGGCACTGCCCTGACGGTGTGGCCAGATGCCAGGGACTGCTGGCATCCCACCTTCCACAGCCCTGCTGAGGGATTGGGACTCCTGCAGACTCCGGCCTCGGGATTTCCACATTTGGGTGAGGTTTATCCTGTTCATCCCAGGAGACACGCCTCTAACACACACTCAAGACAAGCTTAAAGTAGAATGCAGATAACTTGCCATGTCTCCAGCAGACAGCGTATTTGTAAGTATTTATAAAAATGTCGGTGAAGAAATGGAAAAGAAAGGCACATTTCAATCTGCTTTTAAGTGATGCGGTCTGAAGGATACCTGTCTGTCTCTTTTTTTTAACCAACTCGCTCTACAGGTTTTCCAGATAAACGTTAAATTAGGGTCTTTGTCTTTCTGCACAGCCTGTGTTTCAGGTTGCCTTTAATGAAGTGAATCTTGTCCTATTGGAGCAGACTAACTTTTGTAGCTATTCTAAACTAATTTTGATAGGTAGTCTGACTTTTTGCAGAACTTTATAGGCTCTGGAGATGCTTAATTGCCCTTTCACATTAATGTATTTTCTTCTGACTTATTCCAGAGAGAGAGACTTGCCTGTCCTCCAGCTATGAAAAGGACTGTCTACCCTTCGGGGAAATTAATTTGTTAATTTTCTACTAGAATTTATCTCCTATATTTGACCACTTAATTTCCTGCCCCAGTTACTAGTAAGAACACTTTAAGCTGCCCCTTGATCCAGTGTGTTCATGTGGTATGTTTCTGCTATCAAACTTTATTTCGTTTGTATCTCTACATTATGATAAATGCATACATGGCATTCCCCGCATTGGACCAAGACCATAAATAACAATACACACTTCTGTAAATTGATCTAGATAATCTGATCTTGTACATTTTTAAGCTAAGTATATCCCAGAGAGGTCGTATAAAATGCCTTTCTTCCTCTCTCCCTGTTATGCAGGATGGCCGCTATTCACATCATCACTTCTATAAGCACAGAAAGATTTGTTGGTATAATTTACTTTCTAAGAGACACCAATGCCCTTTGATACTATGGAAATAAGGCATATGAGGACCAGACAAAGGAACGTATTCCACAAACACTCCTTTTGAGAAAAGTATGATACAACTGAGTTGGACTAAAGTCCAGCGAGCTCCATAAATACTGACCCCCAAATCCCATCTGCCTTATTACTGAATGACACTCTTGTGATAAGGAAAAAAAAGATGGGACACTGTACATTACAAAAAGGCAAAAAATTAAGAACATTGTTGTGATTTAAGAAACAAACAGTCTTATTACTGGATAGATAAGATTTACTGTAACTGGTAGGAACGTTACAGGAACAGTTATAAAATTCTTGTGGCTCTCCAGTCAGCACCTCCACCAGTCCCTTTGGTCTGTTATTGCCATGTGGGCTTTGCATGGGATGCAAGCTGAGTGTATGGTTTCTCTCTTCCTTTGAAGTTTAGTTTGCTACATCTGTTTCTTATCCTCAGAACTTGTTTTTCAGTGATTTGGGCTTATTTTCTGAACTTTTAATCCATTGGCTGGCCAGAAAATTGTTGTCTTTACAATTCTTAAGCCGCTTAATCTTGGCTAAACCAGGGCGTAACCATGAAGACATTTGTAAAAGCAGCTTCACACTAGTGTTTTGGCAATATGGCAGCTGTTGCATGTCAGAACTCATCATCTTTAAAATGTACTGGCAGCTACTGAAATGTATACACACTGTTGGCATTTATGGAGGGCTCCAGAGTGCCAGTGAAGCATAGAGATGTGCCAGCGGGCAGAGTGCCGGTGTTACCTGGAGGACCAATCCCGGCCACAGAGCTGTGAGCAGCACAGTTCGCTCACTTAGTGATGCTCTCCACTGTGTGAAGGAACAGCCCTGATCTCAAAATGGGGTTTCATCCTACTGTGTTAATCCCTGCACAAAAGGTATCTCAGACCAAAGAGAAGCCTTTGGCAACAGTGAAGAAATCTGCAGAGAACAAAAGGTGATTGCACTGTAATCAAAGGAAACTGAAATGTTACTGTTCTCTAAGGTCTTTCTCATCCAAAGGCTGATCTCTTTACCTAGAGAACCAGAAGCAGAATGAGGATAACCTGTTTCAGTGTCCCAAGAGTTTTGTGTCACAACACAAAACTCCGCAGTCTGCTTCTATTTGGAAGGTCACTGGCAGAAGAGATGGGCTTTGCTTAGATGTCCTGCTCCCCTCGGTTCACAGCAGGGATCGTCCCACTTTTACCTCACAGAGCCTGCTTCTGCAGCACCCTTGCAGACAAAACACTGACTAGCAATCCACCAGCTCAGCGGTGTTCCGTTCCTGACCCTGCCCTAGACCTGCTGACTGACCTTACAAACCTCATGTAGCCTCCCTGCTGCCTGCTTTGTAAAAGGGACTTGCTGCTTCATTTATTCCTTGTAGTGTGATGTCCTTTAACACTTTCAAGTTGCTTTCCTTCAAAGGCATTGGGGGATCGCTGCACATTTCAGTACTCTGCCTGCATTGACGGCAGGAGAGAGAAACAGACATGGGTCTCACAGTAGAGAGACCCAGAAGGCTGGACTTGCTGTCTGTTGTCTTAGTTATCCGGTCCACTTTACTTACTCTGGCTGATTTTGTACCAAATACATTGAAATGCTCGGGATGCATTTATCACATTTATGATCAACCTTGATTAGTGGAAAACTTTATCTACTTTCTTTCTGGACTCAAAACCAAAGAAACTAGATGAAACATAAGACCACTCAGAACTAGCAGACACAGCAGCATGGTCCCAAACATCCTCTTTTCCCTTTCATTCACCAGCAGAGATTTTACCAGTGATACAGTTTTAGCTTGCAAAGCCTGACATATTTCCACAGTCAGAAAAATCACGTAAGTTTAATCGTTGCATTTTATTATTTTTAGCATTAAGGTCTTTAATGTGTCTCTGCGATAGCTATCATCTGAGGTGAGTATGGAGGTAGGTGCCCTCAGCGTCTGAAGGGTGGTCAGGACCACGTCCCCCTTGAGCTAAGACAACAGGTAGGACAGCAGAAGCACCCAGCTCAGGGCAGCCCTTGGCCCAGCTGTGCGTCCCTTGCAAGGTGCCAGGATGAAGGCCACACTCCGGTCCGTCGCAGGGGTGGGGGGGGGTGGGGATTGCACGCCACTGCCTTCCCCCGCGCACATGAGGAAGCAGCCCTCACGCTGAAACCAGACAGCAAGGTTCCTTTTTTTTTTTTTTCCCTGAAGGAAAGGTCTGCTAGAAAAGCCCCTCTGATGACAGTTTCCTTTTAAGTCATGTTGGTCTGAACTTCTACCCCTTCCCCCTCCCACTCCTGCGACAAGCTGCAAGCGCTATTGCTGGGGAAGAAGAAAGGTGCTGAGAACCAGCACAAAAGATGTACTTTTCTC